TTGTGCTAACCCCAACTTAGCTCTTGCCCTCAGCTTCTTTTCCTAGTTTACGGTTCTGTCTGCTTACATGGGACAGGAGTAAGTCTTTGAGTTACTCCTGAGGCCTGCTCTCTGGGTTGGTGTCACCACTGTTCTGTCAGCAGGTCTCTGTCAACTCTTAAAAAAAAATTATTTATTTATTTTTATTTTATATATATATGAGTGTTATGTTTGCTTGCATGTATGTAAGTACACCTGTGTAGTGCAGTGGCCTCAGAAGTCAGAAGAGGGTGTTAGAGCCCCTGGAACTGGATTTATGGATGATTGTTAGCTGCCATGTGGGTGCTGGGAATAGAACCTGAGTCTTCTGCAAGAGCAGCCAGTGCTCTTAACCTCTGAGCCATCTCTCCCGCCCCTAAATTGGGGTTTACTATGTAGCCTAGGCTGTTCTCAAACTTGTGAGCCTCCTGCCTGGATGACAGGTATGTGCTACCAGCTCCCAGTTTAGCATGGGCTTGTACCTGATCCAGGCAATGGTATGTTATTTTCCCCTCAGCAGGCAATGTTCTCCATCTACACAGCTTGACGGCGGGCGGGGGGGGGGACTTTCTCCTCCAAGGCTCTTCTCTGCATTCAGTCTTTTTGTTGGAGATACTTCTCCAGTCTTGGTCTTTGTGAGCAAAAGGGCTGTGTCTGGGGAGCCTGGCAGGTTGGAAACAGGCCATGCTGCAGGCTTTAGGGATTAGACCCAGATGAGAAGTTGAGTGGAGACTGCTGGTGCCTTTCACAATCAGGTCCAGCTAATGACACCCAAGAACTGCAACACTCACTCTGAAGTCTTCTTCTTAGCTGGTTATGCTAAGTTGGCCAGGAACATAGGATCTATACAAAGGGAACTTCGGAAAATGCAGGGTTTTCCTTAGTCCTGTGATGAGACCTTAACCTTCTCACTAGGCCTGTCAGAGGTCTGTGACTTTACGAGAGCCTCACCACATTTTCTTCTGCTGTTAATTGAGACGAAAACTAGGCAGAGGAGGCTGGAGTTAGAATTTTAGCTTTCCCCTTCAAGGTTAGAACCAGAGATGCGTCCTCCATTTCCCCAGGTGGATTAGGGCCTGGTGAACTACTTTTCTTTGAGGGGAGATTTTTGTCAATCAGAACAGAAATGGGATGTTCTGGGCCTATAGGCGTGGACGTGCTGGGCTCTCAGGGTCCCAGCGCGCACTCCTGGGCAGTGAAAGCTCCTCTTCTACTGAGGTCTACTCAGTCGATCCCGTCCCTATTTCACCCATATACCTTCCTCAGGATGTGAGGTCCACTGGCCACTTGGACCACACGGGAAGCGTACGAGGAACGGCGAAAGCCAGGGTGTCCGTGAGTCGTGACGGAGGAATAGCGCCCCCCGGGGAGACTGGATCACAGGATTTAGTGTTACAGCTCAAGACAAGTGACTCAGCTCAGATCTCAGTGATTCAGCTCCAGCTCCAACTTTATTGGGGTAAAACTAGGACTACTTATAGTGTGGAGACAGTAGAAGAAGCCTTAGCTAATAGGTACTTTTAGGATGCCTCATTTACATAGGGCGGTGGGCTTCTATCAGGCTATCAGACAACGCCTGATTAAAACCTGGTAGCTCCTGTGCTGGAGGGGCCTCATTTACATAGGGTGGTGGGCTTCTATCAGGCTATCAGACAATGCCTGATTAAAACCTGGTAGCTCCTGTGCCAGAGGGCATGTATTTGTGGTGAGCACTTTAAAAGAAGAGTCAGGGAGGATGCCAGGAAGGCACTCTGCTATGAAGGAGTCTGCAGCACATGGTTTTCCGAGCTCGTAAGCTATCCGGACGTGAAGAGACTTCTACTTGCATAACAGAGGACCCCAACACTGGGCCTATTTGAAGATGAGCTTATCCTACCTTCCCCTTTCCAGCTCCCCCCAAGCAGGAAGCACTAAGGGATTGTAAATCCATTTGTTCAGAGAATCTGGTAGAGCTCCTGGAGGTAAAATTCACACAAAAGCATGAGCAATTCCTTTACCTCCTACAGAACTTTCATGCTCAAGAGTGTCCACACCACACAGCCATTCATCAACCAAAACATGCATTGCTATCAGACTAAAGGCTCCAGCATCAGCCAATGTCTTCCTTTCCAATTCTAAGGCCTGCTGTGTGCTCTGTGATGTCATTCTCAAGGCACTTAGGAAGTTTCTGACATACAGTTGTGTATGTCACCCCCACCCCCCAACCCTGCTAAGTGTGATCACTGCTAAAAATCTTACAAGTTGAGCAGAAAATTCCAAGGGTGATTCTTATGTTGTTAATCCAGGTGTGGTGGCACACACCTTTAATCCCAGTACTCTGGAGGCAAAAGGATGCAGATCTCTGTGAGACTGAGGTCAGCCTAGTCTACATAGTGAGTTCCAGGACAGCTGGGACTACAGGAAGACTCTGTCTCAGAAAAAAAAAAGAAAACAAAAGAAAAAGAGATAACCCATGGAAATTATACATATATATTTAATTTTATTTATTATTATTTTTATTAGATATGTATGACTGTACCTGCATGTAGGTAAGTGCACCCGTATCGTGGAATGCCCTTGGAGGACAGAAGAGGCTGCCGGATCCCCTGGAACTGGAGTTATGAGTTAGCACATGGAACATGGAGTTAGCACCATGTGGGTGCTGGGATACGAACCCGGGTCTTCTGCAAGAACAACCAGTGTTCTTAACCGCTGAACCATCTCTCCAGCCCCATACAGAGCATCTTAATCAACTTTATGCCCCATTCCCCTATTGGCATCCACTCTCCTCCTGCCTCCACTGGAATTCGTACATTCTTGAGACAGGGTCTTACTGTGAATCTAGGTTAGCCTGGAACTGTGGCAATCCTTCCTCAGTCTCCTGAGTACAGAGATTATAGGCATGAGCCACCACTCATAGCTCTGGTGAGCCTTAAAGTAGAATAATCTCAAAGTCAAATATGATGCGTTATCACTGTGACAGCCTAAGTTGAAAGTGGATTGGTTAGGCAGGCTAGTAAGAGCAGGAAAAATGCTTCTTTAAATAGGCATTTTACTGTCTCATTACACAGGTAACTACTACTCGAATCTTAATACTGGGGTTTGTCTTAATTACAGGTGGATTTTATCCAAAGCCAAGAAAGATGACACCGATATCTATCTATCATCTATCTATCTATCATATCTATTTTTTTATTTCTTGGTAATTTATTCTAGCTTCAACCTTTACCTCAGAGATTCCATTCATAAGCTATTATGTAGCAACTGCATATAATGCTTATATGATTTTCCATCTTCTGTGTCTTGAAAGTCAGCTCTTTGGACACTTGCCATATATGAACATGTGGTGATCCTGCTAGTGTCACCCCGTTGCCAGGGTCTCACAAAGAGGCACTAGTATTAATGATTCAGAATCTGAATCTCTCAGAAAGAGCAATTACAACAACAGAGCAGGTGCTAGGTTCCCTGTCTCTCCTTACAAAGTGTCTAGTTCCCTACCTTCTTGGCCATGGAAGCTCAGCAGGTGGTTAACAGTAATCAGATTGAGCTGAGATTCACGGCTTGACTTACAAGGACTGAGCTTCAAGTAGTCACATAGAGATAGTAATAATTTCAGAATTGTAAAGCCAGTTATTCTTCAAAATACTTAGACGGCTATGTGCTGAAATTCTAAAACATAACAGCTTCCAAAAAGTCCTGTGTTGAAATCCAGTGCCTCAGAATGAGACTTTATTTGGAAATGGGATTGGTCAAGATATCGTTAGGTAAGATGAGGTCATACTGGAGCACTATATCTACTGCCTGGTGCCCTTATACAATGAAGTTTGGACACAAACATGTACACCACCTGGAGACACAGGGAGAAGACAGTCATGTACAAGCGAAGGAGAGAGGTGTGGAGCCTACCCTTTCCTCACAGCCCGGAGTAGAGACCAATCTTGCTGCCAGGAGATAATACATACACCTGTGTTGTTCATTCTACCTGGTGTGTTGTAAGTTGCCAGGTGGTAGTCCTATGTACATGTAAATTCTTTGACTTGCTCCTCCCAAATTGTCTCAAAGACAAGGTCTTTTGTTCTCCATTAGAGTTACAAAGAAAAATACCAGGGCAGATAAGCTGTAAATCTCATAAATAGCCCAGAGGATGGAGGCAGAGAACAGGACAAAGCCCTACCGTTTGAGTTGCACAATGAACAAGTAGCTACAAGGCAGAAAGGGAGGAGGGAAGCAGAAGAGAAAGAGGAAGGAAATCCACAGTACCAGGAAAAGCATACTCTCAGCATCTGAAAGACAGAAGAGAAGAAAAGGGGAAAGTTACACCTTTCAGATTCCAAAAGGCAGGCAGATACAGCAGAAACTCAAGACGACTCTGGAGCATGCTGCTCTGGGGGCAGGAATTCTGGGAAGGAAAAGTACACTGTATCATTAAAGGGATTTTCTATCCCTTTAACATGAGTTATGGTGAGCGTCCTTTCCAGAGGGATGGCCCCTTGGCCAGGTCTAGACCAGTCCAACTGGATTAACTCTTTTGTTTTGGGAAGCATGAAATGTTAGTTCTCCATCCAGATCAGAGGATAGTTTTCCCTAATCGGCCTCCACAGAGCCCTCATCGAGGCTACTGTAACTTTCTTCTGAAGTGGTAACCCTAAAATCATTTAGGAAGTGGCCTCAAACTGGGGAGTGGGTATCACCCATGTTTACCACGAAAATCCAAAGATCCAGTTCCAAAACTGTTCATCAAGTGGGGATTAATATCTGGACTGGAATTTCAGTCCCATCCTCACGTGTTGCCTCGAGGCAATGGGTGCGCCTTCAGAAAGAGATAAAAAACCAGAGCTCCCTTCTGACATTCCCAGCCAGATATTTAAGGACATTTCTGGAACTGCTGCTTTCAGGAAGAAAGTTTTCTTAGAATTTGCCTTTTAAACTTATTTTTAAGATACCAAGTTCTGGGAACCACGTGACCTGTACTTTCTTTGTATAAATAGCAAGTGGGTTTTCAGCAGTCTTTGGACTTCAGCATGAGTACTTCCCAGTGGCTGGCTTGTGCCGCGTTTTCTGTCTTCTGTGTCTCACAAGCCAGCTCTCTGGATACTTTCGTTGCAGCTGTTTATGAACATGCAGTGATCCAGCCTAATGTCTCCCAGTCCCCGGTGTCTCACAAAGAGGCACTGGCATTAATGAATCAGAATCTGGATGTTTTGGAAGGAGCGATCACAGCAGCAGCAAAACAGGTATCCTCTCTCCCTTATCTCCAGAGTGCTAGATCCTGAGAAGGATGGGTCTCAGGGAACAGGGCTCTTGTCAGGATCAGTTACATGGCTGACATGTGTATTAAGATAACCAGGGCACTTTGTGTTACAATTAGAGTCTTTGTTTCACCTCGAAATTATTAAAGAAATTAATACACATCTCTTACAAAGTGAGAGAACAAAGGTTTAAAAAGAAAGTTTTGCTCATTATTTTAAGAAGCAAGACTTTTTGAAGAGCTGGCTGTGTAGTTTAACATCTTTGCTTCTCTCTACTGCTCATGATAGAGGATAGAGTATAAACAATACAAAGACCAGTTACTATTCTTAGACTATTACTTGCTTTAGTGTACCTTTGTGCTCTTGTTTGCAGGTTGTCAGGTAAGTTTACGGTCTGACAAGATCAGGAGCATTCAGGGTGGTGTGGCCATAGATTAAGCTTACATCCAGAAACAATTACACTGAAGTTATAAATTCCTTACCAGTAAACATTATATTCATCGCATTTCATTTCAATTTTAGTATAGAAAAAGGCTCCTAGCCTAAACTATAAATGTGTAGTTTAGACAGACAAGGTTTAAATAAACTATTCACAGAGCATAGAGCAGTTGTAGAGCAGTCATATATGTACCTGCTCTATGCTCTGTGACTATGTATATAAATTAATACAAACAATTACAGATCTCTACCAATATATATATATATAAAAATATAAAAGATTATCCCATATTCTGATATTCTATTTCTTTTTTCTAGTCCTCTCTTTTTTAATTTTCATTTAATTTTGTTATTTTTAAATTTTTAAATTATTTTTATTTTATATGTATGAGTGTATTGCCTGCATGTATGTAAGTGCACCCATGTTATACAATGCCTGTGGTCAGAAGAGGACATCGGATCTCCTGGAATTGGAGTTAGGGATGATTGTTAGCTGCCATGTGGCTGCTGGGAACTGAACTCAGGTCTTCTGCAAGAGCAGCCATCTCTGCTTTTAACTGATGAGCCATCTCTCCAGCCCCAGTCCAGCTGCTTCTTTAAAGGTCACAGCAACTCTCAAGGTTGTTTCCAATTCAAAGGTACCCAGGTTAGCTGGGAGAGTACTTTTAGATTAGGTATAACCTAGGTAACCTGAGTGTGAGAGCCTTTCTCCTTAGAAGCAGGAATCAAACATGTTTGAAGAGTACTGTGTAGGAGAATCCTAAGGCAGAAGAGGAAGTAAACAGGATTTGAGATATAAATCAGTCCTGACACAGGCACAACTACTGACCAAAGTTCAGAGAGGGGTTGACTTGGGGGAAGAAACTGGTTTATAATTAATGGCTTTAGTGGTTGCAGAGCTGGGAGTGACCTATCAAGCTGTTAGAGTCTGTGAAAAAGTCACAGAAATGATGAAGGCCAGATTAGGGTATTAAAGTGCTTTTGAAAGCCAAGTATGTTGCTGTACATTTGTAGTTTCGCTACTTAGAGGATGGAGACAGGAAGATCAGAGTTCAAGGTCATAGTGAGTTTGAGAACAGGTCGGTTTACATGATACCCTGTTTCCCCCAAAAAAATGCTTGGAAAAAGAAAATAAATATAAAAAAACAATAATAAGATCAAAAGCCCAAATGGTTATTTCTCCTTTATTTCTCAAGTCTCCTTGCAATCCCATCCTTTGACTGTTTGTCTGCTTGAGAACGGTTTTAATTCTCTATATTTCTAACAGGGTGCACACATTATTGTGACTCCAGAAGACGCTATCTATGGTATGCGTTTCAGTAGAGATGCTATCTACCCATACTTGGAAGATATCCCAGACCCTCAAGTAAATTGGATCCCCTGTAATGATCCAGACAGGTAAGGAAGCAGTATATGGAGGGGGTCTGTAGGGGGAGAAGGTATGACCATTTCATATTTCAGTGTCTACATGTATGAAATTCTCAATTATTAAAAAATCATGAAAATTCAGTTATGAAGCTCTATTTATTTTAACTAGAAATGTTGTCAGTGGTTGTTGAATACATTCTTTATTAGTCAGATTTCTGTCATTATGACAAAATAGCAGGGCTAACAAACTTAAAAGGAGATGCAGAGTTTCAGACAATTTAGTCCATGATCATTTGGCCCTGTTTCTTTAGGCCTGTGATAACATCGTACATCATGGTGACAGTACATGGCAGAAGTCTTGGTGGCCAGAAAGCAAAAGATGAGAGAGAGAGAGAGAGAGAGAGAGAGAGAGAGAGAGAGAGAGGAGAGAGAGCAAGAGAGAGGAGAGAGAGGAGGAGAGAGAGAGAGGAGAGAGAGAAATCTTTGCTTGGAATGCCTTTTCTCCACACTGGCTACTTTTCTCATTGCTACAACAAAATACCTGACAAGCAATTTAAAGAAGGAAAGGTTCATTCTGGATTACAATTTGAAGGGATTCATTGTATCAGGGAGTCAGGGAGGGAAAGATATGGTGGCAGGAGTGCAGAGTCAGCTGGTCACATTGCACCTGCAGTCAGAAGCAGATGTGATGAATGCCCCTACTCAGCTAGCTTTCCTTTTTTTTTTTTTTTTTTTGGCCTTTTTGAGACAGGGTCTCCCTGTAGTCCCAGCTGTCCTGGATTCTCTATGGAGACCAGGCTGACCTTGAACTCACAGAGATCTGCCTGCCTCTGCCTCCGGAGTGCTGGGATTAAAGGCGTGCGCCACCACGCCCGGTGCTTTCATCTTTTTATACAACCCAGGACACCAACCCATGGAATGGGGCCACCCACATTTAGGATAGGTCTTCCCACCTCAATTAACCTAATCTAGATATCCCCTCATATGTCCAAAGATTTGTCTCTAAGGTGATTCTAGAGCCTGTTAAGTTGACAATCAATATAACCACCACATTCTCCTTTTATCCTAAGGTTGTGTTCATCTTTCACAATAAGGTGTGTTTCTTGGAGTATCAAGTAGATGATGGGGGTCCTGATTTTCAATTCAAATTTCTAGTCTGTGTCTTTTGATTGGAGAATTGAGCCCATCAAGATTCAGAGTTATTTTTCAAAGATTTGGAACTGCTGTCATTTCATTCATATTGCAATGACTAGTACTTTGTTAATTTTCATTTGATTTAAAAAAAATTTTTTTTATTATTTTTTTTTTATGAGACAGGGTCTCCCTGTAGGTTCAGCTGGCCTGGAACCAGCTATGTATTCCAGGTTGGCCTTGAACTCACAAAGATCGGCTGTCTCTGCCTCCTGAGTGCTGGGATCAAAGACATGCCCTACCACGCCCAGCTCATTTGCTTATCTAGTGTTTTAATGCAATTGTTTTTCTTGTGACTTCATGGGCATATTTCTCTCTCTCTCTCTCTCTCTTTCTCTTTCTCTCTCTCTCTCTCTCGTATAATTCTTTAAGCGTCTTCTGTACTGCTGGTTAACTGGTTGTGCATTACTTTAGGTTGTGTTTATCATAGCAAGTTTTTCTTTCTCCTTCAGTTATGAAGCATGGCATCCCATCCTAACTTGCTGGGATATAGAAATCAGGGTTGGCAGTTACTGTCTTCTGAAGCTTGAAGTATACTGCTCCATGCCATTTTTGCTTTTAATGAGTCATTGAGAAACCTGCGTATTACTCTGTTGTGTTTGCCTTTGTATATGCCTTGCTGCTTTCCTGATATGACTTTCAATGCTCTTTCTGTGTTCTGGATATTTAGTATTTTAACTGTACGGTGACATGGGGGAAGTTTTTGTCTTCTATGTTTGGCATTCTAAATGCTCCCCCCTCCCCTATTGGATGGCCGTCTCTTTGGGAAACTTTTTGCTATGATTTTGTAAATATACTTTCTACACTCTTAGCTTGTGCATCGTTTTCTATGCCAGTGACTCCTAAATTTGGTCTTTTAATGGTGTCCCCTAATCTTGCATGTTCTGTTTGTACTTTCTTATTATTTTGTATTGATTGTTGTCTGAATGTTCTAATTCATCCTCCTTGTCCTCAAGGCCTGATATTTTGTCTCTACTTGATCTATTCTACTGGTGAGGCTTTCTTGTTCTCTTTCATCTTATGAGCTCAGCTATTATAGTCTCTTTTAATTCATTCAGGAATTTATTTGTGTCCTCTGATTCCATTGAACATTCTTATAATCATGCTATTAAATTCTTCGGTATTCTGTCCAGTTTATTCTTTTATAACCCATTGCTGTGGGATTGATGATTTTCATAGGACCCATATTGCCTTGATTTTCATGTTTCTCATGTTTTTCATTGGGATTAAGTCATTGGCTTAAAAAATAGCTCCTTTATTGTTTCAGTTGAAGTGTTTTGCAGAATTCTAATGGGTGTCATCCCTCCCCTCTGGATTGGGAGTGTAGTTCAGTACCTAAACCTTCAGCCTGCTCAAGGCACCAGACACAATCTCCAGCACTACTAAGAGTAGAATATTAACTCCAGAAGCAACTAAAACTGAAGGAGATGCTTGCTTTGAAACTGCCATTTTCCTCTATCAGAGCTCAGGATTTTCAGGAGTCAGAATTCTGATTCTGTATTTACTCTCAAAATCAAACTAAATACCATAATTGCTGATAGAGATATATCAATTTTGACAAAATTCAATATCATTCACTTTATTCTTATATTATTTCACAATCATTCCTTTTTTAACTTTCAAAAATTTTAATCATTTTTATTTTATGTATCATGTATATATTGTCTGCATGTATGTAAGTGCACCAGTGTTATGGAAGTCAGAAGAGGGCATCGGATTCCCTGGAACTGGAGTTACAAATGATTGTTAGCTGCCATGTGGGTGCTAGGAACTGAAACAAGGTCCTCTGAAAGAACAGTCAGTGCTCTTAACCACTGAGCCATCTATGCAGTTCCACTTAAAAATTTTTTTGAAACAGAGTCTTGCAATATATATAGTTCAGGCTTGTTTCAAATTCTGGGACTCAAGTGATTCCCCCACCTGAGCTTTCTAAATGTCAATTCTTCTGTCTCTATGAATTTGAGTACTAAGTCAACCTCACATAAATGGAACAGCACAGCATCTGTGTTTCATGGGTGGTTTTGTTACATAACATAATGTTCTCAAGACTTGTCCATGTTGTAGCATGTGTCAATCTTTCAGAATTTACTCTTTTAAATGATGAGTGATATTCATCCCATATCTATCCCATTTTATTCATCCATTCATCCATAGGTAGTTTCTTGGGTTGCTGTAAACTATACCTATATGGAGTAATGATGTTTTGAACATGGCATATGAATATCTTTTCAGTGCCCAGAAGTGGAATTGGTGGATCATATGTAGTTTCTCTTAAATCTTTTAAGAAACTACCAAATTGGTGTCATAGTGGCATGTACCATTTGGAAACTTATGAGCCCACAGAGTTTCCAATTTCCCCACATCTTTGAAAGCACTTATCTTTTTTTTATTTTTTGAATAGCCATCCTGATGAGTGTAAGGTGTTAGCACATTGTAGCCTTGTTAATGATCAGCCATCTTATGCATCTTTTCATGTGCATACATCTTAGAGGTTGACATCTGGTATTTTTCAGGGATGATTTCTATTAATTTACTCTTTAGATGAGGTTATATATTTTTATTTCTTTATATGTCTTATGAGTCTTTGTTGATAGTTGAGCATTTGAATCTTGTAATGATTTTATTATTTTCTCCAGAGTTTGCCATGCCTCCTTCTTGTAAAAAAAAAAAATGGGGTTGGGGGTTTCCTCAGTTCTACCAGAAAGGGAGGATTTTAAATAACGGGGAGTATGTGCAAAAATGGCTTCCTCCCTCTATCTGTATCTCCCTACTTAGAAGCAGCAATCAATGATCAGAACACACATCCCTGATATTTAGAAGCCAAGGTCTTTATTGCCCACTTTGCTTCATGAGCTGTCTCCAAGTTGCTCCAGGAAAAGACAGACAAGCTGCCTGTTGTTGAAGAGCTAGAGGTGGGAAATAGATAACCACTGCTAAGCTTGGAATGAAAATTGATGAAATTACAATTGGTCTTCCCAGCCTTCCCCTGGAGGTTTCAAGCTGCTAAATGGACTACAGAATTCTAAAATTGGACAGATTCTGTAGTACAAATGCTGTCTAGGTTGGCAGGAGAGGGTGGTGGTGTCAGATTTCAGAGTGCTCTCTGATTCTGTCGTCTTACTAGCACCCTCCTAGTTCCAAGTTTTGGATCACTCATTCACTCAATTGAAATATTTCATAGTGCCCCTTCTCTATCAGGCCTGGTTTCAGTGAACACGATATGGAAGGTTTCCCCATACATCCAGATGATGCTGCAGACATTCCAAGATGAACACGTAACTTCATGTGTGATTTCAGATTTGATATATGCAATGATTCAAAATTATATATGACTGGACTTTTAACCCTACAGAACTTTTTTACAGCCAAATTCCCATCCCATCACTACAAGTGTCTTCTGAAGCCGCTGCCTTAATCCTTCTCTCCTACCTACCTGTTATTTAAAATTTATGTCTACATTGAATCATAGATTTGGGCAGCTATAATCCTGAATTATAATTATGTCATTATAATTGTGTTAATGATTTTGTTAACCTGTGAAATTCAGCTTTGTTCAGAGAGCGCTCCCTCTGGTGGCCAGTGTGAGGACATGGGATGGAGGGGGCACCCTGGATGGGTCAAGGCCAGGCCAGACAGGGAGAAAGGGAGGAGAGGAGTGGGGTTTAGGGGGCAGAGGCCAGAAAAGCGAGGGGCTGGAGGAGGGTCACAAGAGAAGGAGGGACAAGCAGCTGGGGACAGGAGGCACGGCAGGAGCAGGTCCTAAGGGCCTGGTATCCCTTTGCCAGTCTGAACGGTCAGTAGGATGCTGCCCCAGGGAGCTGACTGGGTGGGCACAAAACCAGTGTGCAGGGGAGCAGTTGCTAGCTGAGAAGAAGTTAATCTTGATTTAAAAACATTTTCTCTTCTGGGGGTGGAAAGATGGTAAGAGTGAGGAGAGGTGCATGACCATAAGGAAACAGAGTCTTACAGGCTCCTGGGAATGTGCTCATATGAACTTACAGCAATGGTGACAGCATGCAAAGACCCATGCAAAATCAGTCAGCTAAAAATGAGCACAGAACTGGGGAAATGGGCAGGAGGCCCCAACCTTCGTCAAGGAACTATTGGCAGTTGATCATTGCTGAGTAAGGGAGAGTTGATCTTTAAGGGAGTGACACTAGATAGGCTGAACAGGCTCCGCTGGATATACTCACACCTAGAGACAGCTGGGTATACAAACTTCACTCAAAATGCTTTAACGTATACTACAGAATTCGTGAAATCCTGTGAGTGGGCTATGGGGCATGCAGATAAGGGAGGTCTAAATATGGTTAAAATGTATCGTATGAAATCCACAAAAATTCAATTAAAAATATACATTGGAAAAAAACATTTCTCTTCCAATGGACATGTACTAGATTTGGCTACACCCCAGTTCAAGAAAGACTCAGCTGCCTGGCCAAGAACAGCTCTATCTATGTTGTGGCAAATATAGGCGACAAGAAGCCATGCAATGCTAGTGACCTTCAGTGTCCTCCTGATGGCCGTTACCAGTACAACACTGATGTGGTGTTTGACTCTGAGGGAAAACTGATTGCACGGTACCATAAGGTAAAATTAATTAATTACTGAATAATTAACGAAGAAAAGTGAGCAAGAGAGAAGAATTATTATTAGTTATAATAACAAACTTGCTTTATAAGGAGAGTAGTAACAAAGTACAGACAGGAGTATTTAGGTGTGGTCAGTTCCTGTAAGAAGACATTTCCTGTGCATTTAGAATCTAGGGATGTGTCATCTGAAGTGGGTGAGAATTACCAGGAGCTTCACTGAAGCATGCTGTCATCTTTTGGGCTTTGTCATTTTTTTTTTAAGATGTATTTATTTTATTTGATGTGTATAAGTGTTTTGCCTACATGTATGTAAGTGTACCACATAAGTGCCTGGTGTCCCCAAAAGCCACAAGAGGGTGCTGGATCCCTGAAACTGGAATTTCAGACAGTTGTGAGCCTCCATGTGGGTATTGGGAAGCAAACCTGTGTCCTCTACAAGAACAGCAAGTGCTCTTAGCTGCTGGGCCACCACCAGCCCCTGAGCTTTGTCTTTTTAAACTCCATCCTGGCAATGGGTCAAAGGAAGAATGAAATGTCTTACCAGACAGCTCTGACTTTGAAGAGAGAGGAGCACGCAAATTCTTTGTGCACAGGAAAGAGTGAACTGTTTTGACAATGGTTGTCATTTTTGCTCCTTTGCTTTGTAAGATTCCAGACCGCCTGTATAGATAAGTGTGTCCATATACAACCTGTAAGGTGACAAAGGAACCACTAGCTCCATTCAAGTGGAGTGGCTCTGATTCTCCAAGGTGCCTTTGTCTTGTGAAGACAGTGGTCACAGATGAAGTGGGCACTGCAGAATGAACATGGGCTTTCAGGTACAGTAATGTCCAGACCTACTTCCTAGAATTTTATTTCCCTTCTTCATTTGTTTCTTACAGCAAAACCTTTTCATGAGTGAAGAACAGTTCGATGCACCCAAGGAGCCAGAGTTTGTGACTTTTAACACCCCGTTTGGGAAGTTTGGCATTTTCACGTGCTTTGATATACTCTTCCATGACCCTGCTGTGGCACTGGTGAGAGATTTCCAGGTGGACACCATACTCTTCCCAACAGCCTGGATGGATGTTCTCCCACATTTGACAGCCATTGGATTCCACTCAGCTTGGGCTATGGGCATGGGGGTCAATTTCCTTGCATCCAATATACATCAACCTTTGCAGAGAATGACAGGTAATATGCGGTCTTTATACTTTGGTTAAAAAAATCGTCTTTAAAATCTTAACATGTACTCCTTTTGTTTTTCAATTCCTGTTTTGAGTACTTACTTGTTGATATGCTGTCAAATCAATCCTAATCTAAAGTTTTGTAGTTAGGTCTGACAGTACATGCCTGATGTAGTAACACTTGGGTCCTGATCAAGGCTAGGCTGGGCTACATAGTGAGTTGGAGACAATGTCTCAAAAAAAACAAAAAAAAATAAACAAAAAACAAAAAACAAAAAAACAACCACCAAAAAGATACATAACACATACCAAAGAAAACAAATTCTTCTGTTTTTGTAGGTTTGGATAGTTTTATTCAGCTTGAATATGCATATACATATACGTGAGTACATCATTGTCGTGCAATGCTACGGAGTCAGAGAGGGCTTCGGATTCCCCTGGAACTGAAGTTAAGGATGGTTTGTAACCGCCATGTGGGTGTGGGAATCGAACCCAGATCCTCTGCAAGAGCAGTCAGTGCTCTTAAACGGGGAGCCATCTATCCAGCCCATTTCTTCTTTTTTTTAAATTCCAGTTTTATGTGATATTCTCCCCCTTAGCTTTTTGATTTTTTGAGACAGGCTCTCACTATGTAGCAATGACTGATCTGGAACTTGCTATGTAGACCAGGCTGGCCTCACACTTCTAGAGATCTGCCTCCTTCTGCCTCCCTAGTGCTGGGATTGAAGGCATGGGCCACCATGCCTGGCTTCTTTGTGCCTTTTAAAAAAATAAATAATTTATTGAGAATTTCATACATGCATATAAGGTGTTTTGATCAAATCCATGCCAACTCCCTCCCCTCCAAATCCTCCTATATCTCCCCAACACTTTTCTCTGATAACTTCATGTACCCTTTCTTTTTCTTTTATTTTTATTTATTTATTTATTTACTTACTTTATTTATTTTTATGGGGCTTTTGGGTACTCTGACATTCTCACCTCTGAAGAAGTAACCCTAAAATCTTTTAAGGATAGATACAAACTCCCAAATGCTTTTGAAATTTTTGGTTTTTGGAACAGAGTATGTTGCTAAGAGGCCCAACAACATTTTGACTTTTAGCCAAGAAACCGGCTACTTTTCTTTGGGGTCTTTTTACCCTAACTGCCTAGCCAATTCCTACCTCCAATTCTTATCACACCATCCTCTGAAGAGGATGCAACTTGGGAGTCTTTTAGATAGACCCACTCTAGAGTGATGGATTCAGGATTTGCTTTCAAGTATTTTGATAGCTGTTGGAGTGGTTAGAATTAGTGTCAGTTCCCTCTCAAAGGCATCTACATAGGGGGAGAAAAGAAATTTATCCATCATTTTAGAACAATAGCTGGTTGTCTCCCTTAGCTACAGGTGGGCACCACAGTATTGGTGACCAAGATTTGAAGTCTTACATCTGAGCAGCACTTTCTGATTCAGAACAAAATCATCAATGAGAAATAATTGTCGAAATAACTTTTTATATAGACTTAAGCCTAATGTCTGGGAAGTGTAATCCCTTTAGCTCTTAAAGAAATATACTGATGACTGTACTCTTTGGTTATATTTTCCTTTTGGGTGTTTAAGACCATACAGTTGGACCAAATAAATGAATTTATTTCTACACTTAAGGCCTTTTGAGGATCTGTTCTTCAGGGGTCACATGGGCTTGGGAGGAGCTCCTGGCTCCTTTCTTTTACCAGCTCCATCTATGTAAAGATAAGTCAAAGGTCCTGTTCGACCATGTCTGGCTTCACTTGGAAGCATGAATGAGATGTTTCCTCTTGGTTGACCCTCCTCTTTGTAGACTGGACACTGGATCAAGTCCATCTCATGAGGTCTCCATGTCTTCCCTGAACAAGAGGACAGATGACTCACCACAGTTACAGAACATTTTGAGAGAAGTTCCATAGTCTCCTGGAACTTAGTCAACCTTGGAGGGCAAGGGGCAAAAACTGTCCTTTAAGTCCCTCTGACCACATTAGTATGGGCCTCATAGTATGGCGGTTAAACATCCAATAAGGTTAGTTCCACCAGTTTGGTACTTTCGATTATCATGTACTATGTAGATAAGGCTTGGATAAAAAACCAAATATTCTCAGATAAATCTTGACTAGATATATATTTTGTTCCTTAAAATAGTTGACTAAAATATGACCTTTGAAAATTTTAAATATAACACGCCTACACAGACCTTCATCACTTGCTTAGGCTTTCTTATTTTTTCTATTTTGGAAAATATCTCCATTCCCATATCCTTTAAACATCTTTTACATTCTCATTTTCATTTAAAAAAATAATTATGAGACATAAGAGCATTAACAAATAAATTTTCTATCTGTTGTGTGGCTTCTTTTCCTGGGGATGCTAAGCAATGCTTATTACCTTTTAAGGTTCTAGTGTCAAACCAATGTTTGATTAAATTTTTACTGGGGAAACAATGAATTTATTGAGTTTACTTACAGAGATAACTGAGGGGTTGCTGAGGTGTATGTATGACCTGAGGGTATGCACACTGGAAAGCCTTTACCCAACATGGGTCATACCTTCTCTTCCTAGCCTTCCCCAGATTGTACACTTTAGCCCTCCCCAAATCCAGGAGGCCATGTGTGATTAGGGTCAAATTACTTACAATTGGCTAGGAAGAGTGGCTGGATAATCTGGTGTGGGTCCAATGACCTTGCTTGGCTCTCCTTTAATGAATGAGCAAAATCATCAACAAGCTCAATTGTCACAATGATCAGGCTCAGCTGAAGTCATGATAATGGTAGTTATTTCATGCAGAAGGGACTGCTGTATAGCATCATCTTATTAAAAGGACCTGGAATTTAAAAGAATTTGGTGCTGAATCTGTGTTACTTCACTTAGTATAACAGTTTCTAGATTTATCCATTTATCTGAAAATTTCATTATTTCATCTTTGTTTACTGCTGAATAGAACTCATTGTGTAACTATACCGCATTTTTGTTAACCACTCCTCAGTTCAGGGATACTTAGATTGCTTCCATCTCTTAGTTATTGTGAAAAGACCAGCAAAAAACACGGTTATACAAGTGTCTCTATAATAGGATGAGTTCTTTGGGTATATGCCAATGAGTGGTACAACTGGGTCATATGGTAGGTTCGTTTTTAGTTTTTTAAGATTTCGCCACAGTTTTCCCTAGAGGCTGCACGAGTTTTCAATCCCACCAGCAGTGAATGAATGTTCCCTTTTCTCCACATCCTTGCCAGCATTTGGTATCATTTGTTCTCTTGATCCTAGCCAGTCTGATTGGGGTAAGGCTATACTTTAGGGTGGTTTTCATTTGCATTTCCCTAATTACTAATGATGTTGAACACTTTCTGAGATGTTTCTGCAATTTGAGATTGTTTTTAGCCATTTTGATTTCTTCATTTGAGAAACCTCTTTTCAAGTCTAGAGTCTATCTCCTTATTGAGTAATTTATTTTCTTGTTTTTTTTTAGTTCTTTGTATATTCTTGATATTAATCCTCTGTAGGTTATGTAGTCAGTAAAGATTTTCTTCCACTAAGTGGGTTTTTCTCTTCAATTTTTGGTTGTTTCTTTTGTTGTACAGAAGCTTTTTAGTTTAATGAGGTCCCACTTGTTGATTGCTGACCTTAATTCCTGAGCCACTTCTATCCAATTTAGAAAATCCTTTCCTACATCTATATTTTGTAAGTTACTGCCAATATTTTCTTCTAATAGTTTCAGGGCTTCCATTTTCACATTGGTCTTTGATCCATTTGGAGTTGACTTTTGTGCAAGGTGAAAGATAAAGATCTAGTTTCATTCTTCTACAGGTGGAGATCCAGTTTTGCCAGCACCATTTGTTGAAGATGCTGTCTTTCCTCCATTGTATGTTCTTGGCACCTTTGTCAAATATCAGGTGGCTGAAACTGTGTGTACTCGTGTTTCAACTTTCAATGATATTCCATTGATCTATGTGTCTATTTTTGTGCCAGGACCATGCTGTATTTATAGCTATACACTATAACTCTGTAGTATACTTTGAGATCTGGCACAGTAATCCCCCCAGCATTGCTTTGTGCTCAGGGTTGCTTTGGCTATCAGGGTCTTTTGTGCTTCCATATGAATTTAAGGATTTTTTTTTCTAATTCTGTGAAGTATGTCATGGGGATTTGGATTGGGATTGCATTGAATCTATATATTTCTTTTGGTAGGATGGTCATTTTCACGATATTAATTCTTCCAATCCATGAGCACGGGAGGTCCTTCCATCTCCTGATGTCTTTCTCAACCTCTTTAACGATTTAAAATTTTCATTGTAGAGATCTTTGGTATCTTTGGTCAGATTTATTCCAAGATATTTTTTTTGCAGCAATTGTAAATGGGAGCATTTCCCTGTATTATTTCTCCAATTGCTTGTTATTGGTATATAAAAAGGCTACTGATTTTTGTAAACTGATTTTGTAACCTGCCACTATACTGAAAATGTTGATCAGTTCTAATTTTCTGGTGGAACTTTTGGGATCTCTTAGGTATCGTATCATATCATCTGCAAAAAGTGATAGTTTGACCTCTTCTTTTACAATTAGTACTCCTTTAATTTCCTTCTCCTGTCTCTTTGCTATAGTAAGAGTTTCAAGCACTATGTTGAAAAGGAGTGGAGATAGTGGACATCCTTGTCTGGTTCCTGATTTTAATGGGAATGCTTCCAGTTTTTCTCCATTTAGAATGATGTTGGCTGTGGGTTTGTTGTATATAGCTTTAATGATGTTGAGGTATGTTCCCTCCAGTCCAATTTCCTCTAAGACTTTGAACATAAATGTATGCTGAATTTTGTCAAAAGCTTTTTCTGCATCTATTGAGATGACTATGAGGTTTTTGTCTTTGAGTCCATTTATGTGATTAATGACGTTTATTGGCTTGTGTATATTGAACCATCCCTGTATCTCTGGATAAAGCCTACTTGATCATGGTGAATGAGCTTTTTGATGTGTGTTTGTATGCAGATTGCAAGTATTTTTTTGAGAATTTTGGCACCTATGTTCATTAAGGATATGGATCTATAGTTTTCTTTCTTAGTTGTGTCTTTACCTAGTTTGGGTATTAGAGTGATGCTGGTTCCATAGAAGGAATTTGGTAGTTCTCCCTCTGTTTCTATCTTTTTGAATAATTTAAGTGGTATTGGATGGAGATCATCTTGAAATATCTGGTAGAATTCTGCTGTAAATCCATCTGGGCCTGGGCAGTTTTTAGTTGGGAGGGTTTGTATTACTGTTTCAATTTCCTTATATGTTATGGTCTGTTTAAGCTGTTGATCTCTTCTTGGTTTAACTTTGGTGGTGCCCATGATTTTAGAAATCCAAACTTTTCTTCTAGATTTTCAAATTTAGTAGAGTACACGTTTTTATAACATACCCTTATAATGGTCTGGATCTTTTGAATGTCTGTTGTGATGTTTCCCCTTTCATCTCTGATTTTGTTGATTTGGATTTTCTCTTTCTTTCTTTTTGTTAACTGGGTTAAGGGTCTGTCTATCTTGTTTAGTTTTCCAAAGAACCAGCTCTTAGATTCATTGATTCTTTGTATTGTTTGTTTCTATTTCATTTATTTCTTCTCTGATTTTGGTTATTTCTTCGCTTTTGCTAGGTTTGTGATTAATTTCTTCTTGCCTTTCCAGTGTCTTGAGTTGCAATGTTATATCATTTATTTGGGCTCTTTTTAATTTTTTGATGTAGGCATTTAGAGCTATAAATTTCTCTCCTAGGACTGCTTTTAAATTGTCCCAGAGGTTGTGTTGTGTTGTATTGTCCTTTTTTTTTGGAATTCCAGGAACTCATCTATTTATTTCCTAATTTCTCCTTTGACTCACTCATTGTTTAGGAGTGTGTTGTCCAATCACCATGAGTTCATGTAGTGACTAGGGCTTTGTCCAGTGTTGATTTTGAGCTTTATTGCATTGTGGTCTGATAGAATTCATGGAATTATTTCTATTTTTTTTGTATTTGTTGAAGTTTGTTTTGTGGCCTAGTATGTGATCAGTTTTTGAAAATGTTCCATGTGGTGCTAGGTAAAAAGTGTATTCTTTCGTGTTTGGGTGGAATATTTGAAAGATGTCTGTTAGGTACATTTGATGTATGGTATCATTTAATTCAGATGTTTCTCTGTTTATTCTTTGTCTAGTTGGCCTGTCTAATGGAGACAGTGGGGTATTGAAGTCCCCTACTGGGTTGGGGTTAATTTGTGTCTTAAAGTCCTGTAGTGTTGTTTTTATGAATTTATGTGCACCAGAGTTTGGTGCATATATGTTAAGGAGTGTAATATCTTCTTGGTTAACTCTTCCTTTGATCAGAATGAAGTGACCCTCCTTATCTGTTTTGATTAGTTTTCCTCTGAAGTCTATTTTGTCAGATACCAGAATTACAACCCCTGCTTGTTTGTTAGTGCCATTTGCTTGGAATATTCTTTTCCATTCTTTTACCTTGAGGTATTGCCTGTCCTTGAAGGTGAGATAGGTTTGTTGCAGAGAGCAAAGAGATGGATTTTGTTTCTTAATCCATTTACTTAGCCTGTGCCTTAAAATTTTTTTAAATTTTATTATTTTTATTTTATGTGTACTCATGTATTGCCTGCATGTAGGTAAGTGCACCCATGTCATGCAATGCCTGCTGATGACAGAAGAGCCTGTCAGATCCCATGGAACTGGAGTTATGGACAGTTGTTAGGTGCCATGTGGGTGCTGCCATTCAAACCCAGGTCTTCTGAAAGATCAACCAGTGCTCTTAACCACTGAGCCATCTCTTCAGCCCCCTAGACTGTGTCTTTTGACTGGGGAGTTCAGTCCATTGATATTTAAGGTTATTATTGAAAGATGTGTATTGGTTGCCATCATTTTGATTGCTGTTTGTGTTCTGTGTCTAATTTTGTGTTTCCTAGATTATACCTTTATTTTCTTTGGTTGCTCCTGGGGTACAGCTGCTTCTCTCTCTACTCTCTGTATTGCTTCAAGTATTCTTTGAAGTGCTGGTTTTTTGGACATGTAGTCTTTCAGGCTATTGATGTCATGGAAAATTTTTCTTTCCCCCTCAACTATAATAGACATTTTTGTTGAGTAACGTATTCTGGGATGGCATCTATTGTCATGTAGACCTGAAAATATCTTGGTCCAGGCTTTTCTGGCTTTCATAGTTTGCACTGGTAAGTCAGCTGTAATTCTGATGAGCTTTCTTTTCTATGCGATTTGTTTTTATTTTGCTGCTTTCAGTATTCTCTCTTTGTTCTGTACATTTAGTGTTTTTACTATATGTCATAGGGAGTTTCTTTTCTGATCCTGTCTATTTGGTGTTCTGTGTGCTTCCTATATTTGTATGTGGATGTCTTAATTTTGGGAAATTCTCTTCTACAGACCTGTTTAAGATCTGGCCAATACCATTAACCTGAAATTCTTCTCCTTCCTCTATTCCTATGATCTGTAGATTTGGTGTTTTCATGGTGTCCCACATCTCTTGCATATTCCATTCCTGTGTCTTTTAAAATTTTCTATACTCTTTGCTTGAGTGGTCCAGTTCTTCAACTGTATCCTCCAGTGTTGGTATTCTGTTTTCCATTTCATTCATTCTATCAGTGAGGCTTTTCCCCTGTTCTTTCAAGTTGGCTTATTGAGTTTTGCACTTCCTTCTTCATTTCTACCTGAGTTTTCTTCAATGTTTCTCTTTTGTGAATTCATTCAGAAGTTTATCCTTATCTTCTTTTAGTTCTTTGATTTTTTTTTCATGTGTTGTTTATATTAATTGAATTCCTTGATCATGTTTATGATTGTTCTTTTTAATTCAGTGTCCTGAGTGATCTCTGGGGGGTTCTTCTTGTAGAACTCCTCTACAGGATTGGTGGAGTTTGATGGGGACATAGTATTTTGGCTTTGCATTTTATTCTTTTGTTTTGATTTTGGCATGTGAATTTCTTTTGTTGTTTATGATTCTGATATGAGTATTAAGTTGAAGTATGCTTCTGTTTGTATTATGGGCATGCCTAGATCCTTTATTGGTTTTGTAAAGCTGGTTGGTACAGGGTTCAGGTTTTCTCAGGTTTAATTTGGAGGGAACTGATGGCTTCAGATCAGATATTTAGGAGAATCCCAATTCAGGTTCCAGTCAGGTACTCTCAGACTTCCTTCACCATGGTAGAAACAGGATCTGGGCACTCTCAGGCAGTCCCCTGTGTTCTCAGCTCCTATGTCAGAGGGAGGCCTGAACTAGGCATTATACTGATGGTGGTTGGACCCATCCTCTCAGGCTGTCTGCTAGGATCTCAGCCTTAGCCTACCAAAGCCAGATCTGCCCTGGGGCCTTGGGAGGGGCCTCACAAAGTCCCAGGTAGGGGGATGGGTATGGAGCAATTAGGAGGCAGGATCTGGGGGCTCTCTGGCAGTCCCCTGCATTCTCACACCCTCTGACAGAGGGATGCTAGAGAGAGACCAGAACTTGGCACTCTCTTGTGATCTGCTGAGATCAGAGCCACTATAGGGGTGGAGGTTGGAACCCACCCTCTCCTCCTTTGTACCTTCTAATTGTCACATTTTATTGGATTTCTTCTTGTCTCTGTGTCTTCTTATCTGCTTATATTATTGAAATTAGCAAAATATGTAACTTAGAGGGAGTAAAATGTTGATATCAAGGTACCAATAGCAACTATGAAACCTCCTCATTTTTGATTGCAATGACATTTTCAGGGAGTGGCATCTATGCACCCGATTCTCCAAGAGCATTTCACTACGATAGGAAGACACAGGAGGGAAAACTCCTCATCTCTCAGCTGGATTCCCACCCACACCACCCTGCCGTCAACTGGTCTTCTTATGCCAGCAGTATAGAAGTAATGTCAATGAGAAACCAGGAATTTAAGAGCATTGCCTTTTTTGATGAGTTCACCTTTGTGGAGCTTAAAGGAATCACAGGAAATTACACTGTTTGCCAGAAAGATCTCTGCTGTCATCTGAGATACCAGATGGCTGAGAAGAGAGTTGATGAAACTTATGCCCTTGGGGCATTTGATGGGTTGCACACCGTTGAGGGGCAGTATCATCTGCAGGTAATGTTGAAGTCACAAGATGTTGCAACAAATGCACACACCCAAGTAAAACTGGATGTCAGGTAATCTAAAGGAAGATTTGATTTTTTTTTTTTTTTTTTTTTTTTTTTTTTTAGTATGGAACTCACTATGTAGACCAGGCTGGCCTTGACCTCACAGAGATCCACCTGCCTCTGCCTCCCAAGTGCTGGGATTAAAGGCACATACCACCACACCCAGCATCAGTCCTTAAAGTTATCTGATAAACTTTGAAGGCTTAAATATGAGTCCAGCTGCAAAAAAGGCAGCATACTTATTTGCAGTGTCAATATTAAAATTATTCAAATTGCAGATAATGTAGTACCAAGGATATATTCTGCTTGGACAAATGCAGGCATTTTTTCTATTCATTGATACCTATTTTGGTTTGTAAAGAACTTAACACTAAGTGTGTATTTGGTACTTAGTACAGATGGAGTTGCCCCATAGGATTGCTTAATAGAGAGATTTGCTGCTGCAGACTCAGATATCTCATAGCCCTTAACTAGAAGGACTGAGAACAGCTTGCAGAGGCACATTCTGATTTTCACTCCCTTGGTCTGGCTTTCAGCCTGTCTCAGAATACCACAGTATCCTCTGACAGGACTTTTTCTTACACTAAAATTACAAAAATAATCACAATCCTTTTTCTGATTATATCACCTTCATGTTGAATATTCATTGGTAACTGCTTACTGTCAAATCAAATGTTTAAACAAAAGAGAAGAGACCCAGGAAATCTTGTGTGGACCCTTACTACTCTCTGTTCTCTACTCTCATTTCCTCCATATATTCTGGGCTTCTGCATAGGGAGATGTTTCTAGCACCTTCCCCCCAATTTCTAATATCTGCGGAACGTCTGTATGTTTACAGGGTTTGTTTCCTTTATCTATGGTGGCCTCCACCTACTTCTCTTTCAGAGTACTTTTCAGTTGTTATCTTCCTTAAAAAGGATGCTTCACACATCCACTGGACCTCTGCCAGCTCCTCAGCTAGATTAGGGACCTCATCTATGTGTTCCCAGAATATCCTGGACTTGATTTCATCAAAGTCACAGTATACCATATTATTCCCATATTTGAGACTGACAACCCTTTGAGGATTGGAACTATAGCTATGCTGTTCATTTTCACAAGTGTTTGAGTAACAACTATATGCTAGGTGTATATCAATGTTTATGATGTATAGTCCTCTTCCTTGAGAAGCATAGTGGAGTACAATAGAGAGATATTTGCATAGACATTTCAGTACTGGATGAACATAGAGCCTAGAGCTTGAAGAGTACCAAGGAGCTGAATTTAAACTAAAGCCTCCAAACCCAGATAGCTTATTAAATAGTCCTATAAGACCTGGACCATTAATATATTCAGGTGCTTGCTAGAGGGGAAATGTATTAATATGAGAAAGAGAGATATAATCACTGCTTTTACGGATGGAGCTTAAAATTTTTTTGGTTTATTTTTATTTTTATGTATTATGTGTTTTGCCTGCATGTATGTAAGTGCATCCATGCATGCAATGCCCCTAGAGGCCATAAGAGGTTGTTGGATCTCTTGGAACTGGAGTTATGGATGGTTGTTAGCCGTCATGTGTGTGTTGGGAACCAAAACCAGGTCCTCTGCAAGAGTAGCCACTCTTAACTGTTGAGCCATCTCTCTGGCCCCTTCAGAACCACTTTTGACTTTTACTTTTTTTCAACTATAATTCCTATTTCCTAATATTATCTTTATTTCCCAAATTCATTATTTGTGGTCATTATCTTTTCTACTCTATTAACCCTTAGCTTTGCTACAGCACCTTACTTATATCCCCTCTACCATCCTTTTAATAGAACTTTTAGTTACATTAAATGCAGTGTTTAAATTTATCTTAGCTTCATTTTTTTATTTCAGTGATAAAAATACCTTGACAAAAGCAACTTAAAGTGAAAAGATTTATTTGGCTTACAATTCCAGGTTTATCATTATGGGGAAATCAAGAAGGTAGGAACTTGAAGCAACTGGTCAATTTTGTTTTCTTAAATGTTCTTAATTTCCTTTCTTTTTTTGTAAAACTCCTTGTGCCTTTCAGCAGCATCTCAGAACAGTTTTACCCCAAGGTCATTTTCATCAAGCAATCCTGAGTTAAAATAAACTTCTACACTGGCTTTCTGCTAGTCCTTCTGTACTTCTGGGGATTTCCCTCTTTCTTTTTCTCTTAATTTGAGTTCCTTGTTTTTCTTCTTCTTTTTTTTTTTTTTTTTTTTTTTTTTTTTACTCTTTTTTTTTTTTTTTTTTTTTTTTTTTTTTTTTTGTTTTTTGGTCTTTTTGAGACAGGGTCTCCCTGTAGCCCAAGCTGGCCTGGAACTCACTATGTACACCAGGCTGGCTTTGAACTCACAGAGATCTGCCTGCCTCTGCCTCCCAAATGCTGGGACTAAAGGCATGAGCCACCATGCCCAGCGTTTTTCTCCTGTTTTATTTATTATTTTCTTCCAATCTTCTAACACATCTTGAGTCACACAGCTCTGATACAAGCTGGCTGTTTTCCCTACCTTGTACAACACGGTGCCATTCTGCAGTTTTCCTTCATGGTCCTGATGAAGATGCTCTTTACCTCTCCAATGTGGGTGTTCTCATAGGTGTTTCCTGTTTTGGGGGAAGGGGGTTGGTTTATATTAGCTCTGCTTTGTTAACAGTTTTCTGAAAGAGAGGAATTGGTAAATAAATAAGTAAATATGTTGGGGCTGGAGAGAAGGCTCAGCAGTTTAGAACACTGATTGCTCTTGCAGAAGACCCAGGTTCGAATTCCAGCACCCATATGGCAGCTAACAACTGTCTGTAACTCTAGTTCCAGGGGATCTGAAAGCCTCTTCTGTCCTCCAGTGCACTTACCTACACTCAGGCAATACACGCATACACATAAAATAAAAATAACAATAAATAAAAATTTAAAAGATATGTTGAGATTTACATGACCCAAATTACTATTTCTCCTAATTTGGTTAGCTATTCCCCAGATATGACATTTATAATTTTCCTTCAGAACTGTGAGGATATTATTTTATCCTTTCTTGTGCTGTCACTGGGAATTCTGAAGATATTTTGGTTTTGATTCTTTGCATGTATACTCCCCTCCCTTTTCTTTCTCAATAAAGTTACAGGAGTTTATTTCCATTCGCTTTCCTTCTAAATCTTCTGTAATGGACTGCCTCTAATCTCCCTCCCTCCCGAAAAACCCTAGGCTATAATTTCCATGTCACTATGGTACATGTTTCATCAGACTTTATTGAGATTTCAGAGTGAGCAAGTGAAATAAATTTCTTTCTTTCTTTCTTCCTTTCTTTCTCCCTTCCTTCTTTTCCTTCCTTCCTTCCTTCTTTCCTTCCTTCCTTCCTTCCTTCCTTCCTTCCTTCCTTCAAATCTGATGCTCACTATGTAACTCAAAGTGGTCTTGAATTTCTGGTTCTCTTGCCTCAATCTCCACAGTGCTGGGATTACACATTCAATTCATCTGATGACTTTTTCTTTTATAGCAGATAGCATATTAAGTTAATGGATTAATGGAATGTATCCCCACAGCTTTAAGATGTAATTAACTAATAACAAAATGTGTGAAGCACTGGAAAGGCAGACAGATCTCTATGAGATTGAGGCTAGCCAGATCTACATAGTGAGTTCGAGGTTAGCTAGGGCTACAGGAAGACAATGTCTCAAAAAACAAAACAAAACAAAACAAAAAACCGAGCCAAGTAAAAATTGCAAAATTGCATCATATACAGCATGGTGCTTCCATACATAGCTACATGTAGAACGGTGAGATATCATGACTCATACTTCTGGATTTCCATGTTTTGCCTAGATCTGCACTCTGCTAAAATGTAAGACAACGGATTTACACACCTGTGGTAGTTCAGTTGACACGGCTTCCACCAAGTTTGCAATGTTCTCCCTCAGTGGCACTTTCGGAACTCAGTATGTCTTCCCTGAGGTACTGCTGAGTGAAGTCAAGCTCGCACCTGGAGAATTTCAGGTAACAATCTTTGTTTGATATTGTCAACTAATTCCGTGTAAGAGGGGGCATCTTTGATATCAAAACTTACCCAAGTTCTTCCAAATACAAATATCCCTATTTGAAAGGGGTAAGAGTGTCTTTGAGGATCATGAAAGATATGGGGTAGGCTGGTTTTCTTGCCTTCAAGTTAATATAATAATTCATGTGGCCTTTTGTCTTTAAAAATAAAGAAATAAAGGTTATTTAGAGAGGCAACTCTATGAAGAAGGCTAGACTGTTTAAGGAAAAAGATTCAGCAATAGTTGATAAGTTTAGAACCTATCTCAACAGAGAAACCGTTAGTATCACTGGGGAGTGATGGTCCAGCCCTTGGTGTGACCACAGGAAGAAAGAAGGAAAAACTGAAGAAGAGAGAATTTAACAGTGGCTGATGTTTGCAAGGAAGAAAAACCTTCAAAACCCAGAAACAATTTCTTGCTTACATGTATTCTTCCCTGTGTATCCTTTCCTTTACTGTGTAGGTTCCACTCCTGTCCTCTTTCCTGGCAGAAGCAATTAAATGCAGGGATTAAAGTGGAGCATGGGCTGTGCAGAGCCAGACACAGAGTATTAGACCCTCAGTCCAAGCCTCAGCTTGTTCAATCAGTTCTGACTATTTGAGTAGCTTTTTAAAAAAATATTTTATTAGTTATTTAAATTTTATGTGTATGAGTATATTGCCTGCATATATGTGTCATGCAATGCCCACAGAGGTGAAAAAGAGGGCATTGGATCCTCTGGAACTGGAATTATGGACAGTTGTTAACAGCCATGTGCGTGCTGGAAACTGAACCCAGGTCCTTTGCAAGGGCAGCTAGTGCTCTTAACCATTGAGCCATCTCTCAGTGTCTCAAAGATTATTTGCCCCTATCCAAGTAATCTTTATTGGTCTTAGAGGGCTAGATTACTCTAATGTACTACAACCTCCATTTTCATTTTCTTTTTTGAAGCAAGGTCTCCTAGTAGCCCCAGCTGGCCTGGAACTTGCCCTGTAGACCAGGGCAGCCTGAAACTCAGAGAGACCTGCCTGCCTCTGCCTCCCGGGTGCTGGGATTAAAGACGTGCATCACCATGCCCGGAAACCTCCATTTTCTTGTGTTCATTAATTCATGGGCTGCTTTCTCAGAGAAGTAATGATAAGGTATTAATTGTAGGCATTTAAACAGTAAATCAACCAGTGACAGTTCCATAAGCTTCATTCTTTGCAATATTTCAAATATTTAAAAAGTTTGCAAAACTCCTTCCTTTTCTTCCTTCTCCCCTCCCCTCTATTCCCCTGTCCTCACTTCTTCTCTTCTGTGTTTTCTGTTTTGCTGTGCTTGGGACCAAATTAAGAGCCTTGTGTAGGGTAGGCAAGTAGTACTTTGTGCCTGAGCTACATCCCTAGCTCTTTAAATATTTCTAAAAGAACAAAATTTGACCAATATTTTAAATTGTTTCTTCATCTACTTCTAGCAAATATTAAAAGTACTATGGGATTGTATAACTTAAAGAAAGACCTTATCTACCTTTTTTCTGTTTTAATCAGGTGTCAAGTGATGGACGTTTATTTAGCCTGGAGCCAACATCTGGACCTGTGTTAACAGTCACTCTGTTTGGGAGGGTGTATGAAAAGGATGGAGTGACAAATGTTTCCTCAGACTCCCGAACACATTCACTACTAATAATGCTAATAATTATGACACCTATTATGCATGCCTTATTTTTATAGAAGATTTATGTTTTATATTTTATTTAGGATAATTAAAAATTAATGGACGAAGGAAAGATTAATCTGGGTTTGCCAATAGTGCCTTTTGGTATAAATGTTAACTAAAGTACATTTCTCTTAATTTGAACAAGCACATGCACATCAGATAAATTTCAGGTAAATTTATAAAAGTGTGTTTTCACATTGTTCTATCTTGAAAATAAGCTGTTTGGACCAAATGAGGGTCACAATGTTTTGTGAAGAAGAATAAAAATTATGGTAAAAATATCATAAAAAATACTTATAAGAAGTCTGAATCCATTACCACTTTATTAAGACAGAAACATTACTCAGTTAGCCTTAAGATTTCCAATGAGTTAATTTTGCTGTTAATTATTTATCTAAATGATTGATATGTTTCAATTATATTATGGGCCAAATACTGTCACTCAAAATTCTTCTGTTTTTTGAGCAGAGTCTCATTATGTAGGCTGGCCTGGAACTTTCTATGTAGATGAGGTTGACCTTGATCTCACAGAGATCTGCCTGCTTCTGCCTCCTGAGAGTAGGGATTAAAGGTGTGCACCACCATGCCTGGCCCTAAATTCTTAAATTGAAGTCCTAACTCCAACTCAGAACGGGACTGCTTTTGGAAATAGGGCATTTAAAGAGGTAAAATGAGGTCAGTGGGTGGACTCTAGTCCAATGTGACTGATGTCTTCATAAGAACAGGAGATTAGGATACAAATGTGTAAACACAAAAAAGGCAACCATTGACAACAAGCAGAGATGCCTAAGGAGAAAGTAAACCTGATAACACATAGATCTTGAACTTCTCACTCCCAGAATCTTGAGACAATAAATTTCAGTTATTTAAGTCCCTTGTCTCTGGTACTTTGTTATGACTTGCACAGAAAGCTAACAGAATTCTCTCTTTGACCCACTTCTCCCATTTTCAAACATAATCTGAAGATTAGGACAAAATGGTTCACTCAGAATATCCATCCCCAAGACTCAAACGGACTCTCAGAGAAGATTGCTCGTGAATTGATGGTGAAGCCACAGGATTATTAAATATCCTAGAACTAGGAAACCAGAAAGCCACATTTTTGAAAATATGTATTTACTCTAATACAAAATGGTTCTCTTTCAGTAACAGCAAAATCTTTTGATATTATACTACTTAGTGAAACAAAGAACATCTTTTAAGTCAAAACATCTCTTCATGGATAGATAACACACAAAGCACTGCTTGTTATCTGTCTCTAGAAAATGTGCCTTTGTAAAAGAGAGCAGGGTCTTACAGCAGTGATCAATGCCTGTAGGGCATCTGTGTTTGTGTGTGTGTGTGTGTGTGTGTGTGTGTGTGTGTGTGTGTAGAATGTTTTTCATGTTTTAATTTTTTCATATTTATTTACTTTTATTTTATGTGTATGTGTGTTTTACCAGAGTGTATGTAACTGCATCACTGTCATGCAATGACCACAGAGGCCAGAAGAGGGTATCGGATCACCCCTGAAATTGAGTTACAAATGATTATTAGCCTCCATGTGGGTGCTTGAAACCAAACCCAGTTTCTCTGCAAGAGCAACAAATGCTGTTAACCATTAAACTATCTCTCCATCCCCAAACTGTTTTTTTTTTTTTTTTTTTGGTGTTTTTGAAACAGGGTCTCCCTGTAGCCCTAGCTGTCTGGGAACTCCCTATGTAGACCAGGCTGGCCTTGAACTCACAGAGATCCACCTGCCTCTGCCTCCTGAGTACTGGGATTAAAGGCGTGCACTACCACACCTGGTCTAAATTTAAAACAGAGCAGAAGGCAAGTTGATATGTCACATATGAAATATTAAGCTTATGAAAAAATTCTAAATGGTTCTTTTCCAACTGGCTATATTAGTTGTCCATTTTGTCAAAACAAATTCCCTCAAAATTATCATCTTGAGGGACTGGAGAGATGTCTCAGCAGTTAAGAGGACTGACTGCTCTTACAGAGGACCTGAGTGTGGTTCTCAGCACCCACATGGTAGCTAACAACCATCTGTAACTCCAATTTCAGGGGTCCATCACCCTCTTCTGGCCTCCTTGGGCACTGCATACATGCATATAAAACACTCATATACATAAAATTTTAAAAAATATCACCTTGAAATACATGTGACATTGACTAGGCCGTGGTGAGCCACCATGTGTGTGTACTGGGAACTGAACCTGGATCCTCTGTAAGAGCAGCAAGTGCTCTTAACCACGGAGCCATCTCACAAGCCCCCATTTTATTTTTTGAGACAGGATCTCTCCTTGAATCTGGAGTTTGGTGATTAAGCTCACCTGACTGGACAGCAAGCCACAGGGATCCTCTTGTCTCTGCCCTCCCAGTGCTGGGATTGTAGATCCATGCCACCACAACTGTTTGTTTTGTTTTGTTTTCTTTTTGTTCTTTTTGAGACAGAGTCTCCCTGTAGCCCCAGCTGGCCTGGAACGCACTATGTAGACCAGGCTGGCCTCGAACTCACAGAGATCTGCCTGCCTCTGCCTCCCAAGTGCTGGGATTAAAGGTGTGCACCACCATGCCTGGCTCACAACTGTTTTTTTCCAGGGTGCTAAGGATCTGAACTCAGGCCCTCATGGTTGAGCAACAGTCTACTAACAGTCATCTCCAAGACCTCAAGAGTGAGCTCTTTAGATTTTCTATTTGGAAATGATTCTCTATGGTGATACAGCCATAGAAATACAGCAGAAGCTCTTATCAGCATGAACAGCTATTTAGACATCAATACTATATAGAAACTGACATCATGCCAATGCAAATAGGGCCCACCTGTCACTATGGTGGTAAACTATCTGATAAATAGTTAATGTTTGGGTAAAATTCATTGTAGACATGTTAATTGGATAAACTTTGAATTTAGTTAAGAAAATATTAATATCACAGAATGCTATTTTGACAGATTATGATGTTGGTTTAATGAAATTTATGGTAAACCAGCTGACTTCTTTCTTCCTAGCTATGATAAAATTTTATCTTGCTCTACCAAAACAATTAATGGAGGGCTTATTTGCTATTGCAATATGAGTGAAAATTAATTGAAATGCTTGCTGTCATGTGTACTCAGTACTAGGAAAGTAGGTATTGTAGAGATTGATGATAAAAGCACTGGAGCAAGAAAATAAAATCTGATATCTTGAAAATAGCTTCCTAAGAACACATAAAACTTAACAGAAAAGAGATATGTGAAAAATCACCTTCAGAGATTGACACTAACATATAATACTTCCAATGATTAAGAGAATTCCAAAAGCTGTTTTGGTAATTTTTAAAAGTATAATTACTAGGCCGGGCATGGTGGTGCACACCTTTCATCCCAGTACTTGGGAGGCAGAGGCAGGAAGATCTTTGTGAGTTCGAGGCCAGCCTGGTCTGTATAGTGAGTTCCAGGACAGCTGGGGCTACAAGGAGACCCTGTCTCAAAAAGAACAAAAAGAAAAAAAAAGTATAATTACTCTATTATTTCATCTGGTCTGTAGTTAATAAGAGTTCCTTACCTACCAGTCATAGATGGGTCTTAAGTAAAGTTCATGTGAATGTAGTAATATTGGTTTTCTCTATGCAGATATTTGAAGGCTCTGGGAAATAAATCAATTATACAAGTGTGAAAATCTTTGCTGCATTATTTTTCCCCCAAGTTCTGGGTGGTGGGTAGGAACTGGAAATCTGAAATAAGACAAATCTAGAACAAAGTACTTTTGCTGACTCATATTCATAATTTATCTAGTTCTCAGCCCCTGCCTCTATAAAGCAACACTGGAAAATAAGGTGTATTATTTAGAATCATAGGATTAAACTTGAGGTTTCGTGTGATGCCCTTGGCCCAGTACAGAGTCAGGGGAAATTTTTTACATTTCCCTTCCTCCCTCTCTGTCTCTTTGCTTCCTTCTCACAATCCTTCTCTCCTCTCCTCTCCCCACTGCTTGTCCATCTCCTCCCTTCTTGCTCTTTACCTTTCTGCATCATTACTGATGGCAGAGTGCCCATGTTATGCTGGCTCAGCACTCTTTCAGGTTCTGACTTTCAAGAGTTTCCAAGACACAAGAGAAGAATCAGCTGTCCTTGACTGTCATCTTAGTTTCTCCCTAAATTTTCTATCCCACAGGGGAAAAAAAAAGGTGTGAGGGATAACTGCTCATATTGATTGACTCCATTCCAGGCTTTTGAAGTTGGGAGGAGGAACACGGTATAAAAACTCAGTCCATGAAAATCTGTAGAAGGCCGCCCTCTGTGGGTCTATATGAAAATAATCTCTGGATTAAAGATACCAGTTGACTAATCTAACTGGATGTGACTGCTCATGCTTCTAATTTTAGTATTTGGGAGGTAGAGGTAAGAAGAATAAGATTTCAGAGGTATCCTTGGCTGTATAGCAAGTTCAAGGCAAGCCTGGATAGCATGAGACCCTGTCTCAAAACAAGAAAACAGATAAACAACAATAAAAAATAAATATCCAAGGTATAGTTTCTTTCTGTTGTTGTTGGTTTTTGTTTTTTTGAGACAGAGTCTCACTATGTAACTCAGGATAGTTTTCGACTTACCATCCTCCTACCTCAGCCTCTCAAGTACTGGCATTACAGGTACATGCCACCACATTGGCCTCAAGGTGTCATTTCTTGGAGATGGTTTAGAAAGAAGTAATACACTGCCTGCAATAAACAAGTAAGCTGAGTGCCTCGTTAGCATGCCATTCTTTTATCTGTGGTGGCCACATAATTGATATATAGACAACCATCTAAAGCTCCACCCTAGAATATTTATGGAAAGGCCCAGAGTTAGTATCAGGATGATTTTAGTCAGCCAATCTATTTTCTGGAAGGAGTCTTGGGAGATTTATGTGATCTGTTAACAATTTGGCTTGTTCTTGAACATAATTTTTGATGTACACTTTGAGTTTTAGTCTCCATATTGTTTTTAATCTTTTTTTTTTTTTTTTTTTTTTTTTTTTTTTTTTGAGACAGGGTCTCTTTGTAGCCCCTGTTGGCCTGGAACTTTCTATGTAGACAAGGCTGGTCTTGAGCTCACAAAGATCCACCTACCTCTGCCTCTCGAGTGCTGGGATTAAAGGCGTGTGCTACCATGCCTGGCTGTTTTAATCTTCTATAACTATCAAATTCCAGAGGCTGCACTAGGCCCTATTCATACAAATATAGTAAGCTATTTGGATATAGATGCACTACATATGCCATAGGATATAAGTACCCACAATGTAATGCTTTTGTTCTAGCTGAAGGATTTACAGAGAAATGTTTAGTGACCTGCCCCACGATCCCAGGCCCACAGATGGCTCCAGGTCTTTTGCAAGGCTAAGCCCAAATGTAAACACATGGCTGTACTGTTCTGTACTTAAACACTCTGGTAATAATAATGGTTTGTGATGGCTAATCCTGGGTGTCAATTTGACTGGATCTGGAATTGACTGGATCTGGGATTAACTGAAATGAGAGAGATCTTGATTGAATCATCTGAAGCTGGAAGACCCACCCTAAATGTGGGTGTTTCCTTCTGATGGAGGCTGGTATAAAAGGCAATGGCAGAAGGGAGCTCTTGCTTTTTGCCGCTTACCCTCTCTCTCACTGGTGAGTTCCTCTTGCTGCTGTAGACTGAAGACTAGCAGATATTCTGGAATTCCTCAGGCCTACAGTGCCAGATTGGGACTACCGAGACATCCAGCCTTGTGGACTGAGCAACTACCGGATTCTCAGCCTCTCTGGTGTGGTTCAGCCATTGTTGGACTATTCGGACTCTATCCTGTAAGCTAATCTAATAAATTCATATTTATTCTGTTTCTTTAGAGAACCCTGATAATACATGATTATTTGTGTTGACTTACATTGTATCATAATCTTTAGAGAAGTAAAGAGTTTAATATCTTTTGGTCAAGAAGTAGAGAGACTGTGCAAAGTTGCCTTACATAGGGAGTCAGTTTCTTACATTCTGTACTGCAAGTTTAAATGCTCATTTCTCTGGTCCATCACACTCTTGTTGACTGAGCTACTTCAACTAAATTCACCAAAAAATACCTCCATCCTCCATACCTCACTGGCTCTAGCTATTTCCACAAGTAGGAGAAATAAAGACAGCACAAAGAGGTAAAAGTTTGGAGTTCAGTTGTCTTCGATTCTTGGACTTCCAACTTGTTATGAAATTGACTTTTAAGCTGCTTTGAGGAACCATCTTTAATAAAAATATGAATAACTTTTCCAGAACCGCAGGGTTGGCATAAAGATTATATGTGCCAATACAGTGTATAAAATCTGGAATATACTAGGTAACCTATAAACAATTGCTTACTGCTAAGATAACTGGATAGTCATTTCAGAACATCAATAACAGCCTTATGACTTGAAGCTGCTTATGAAACCTAATGACATTTAGTTATCATTTGCTAAAACAATTTAAAAATTAGAGTAAAGGGCTTTTACCTTTTTACGGGATACTTTTCTGGAGGGCACAATAGGTTTCTGTATTGTCTTTCCCCATAGTAAGATTAAAAATGCCCTGCTGATGCACTCTGCTGTTGACAAGCACAGTCTACGCTCTGCAGTTTCAGTGTTTTGAAGTCCTACCCTTTAGATCAAGACTTCTATCTCACCAGCTCAAAAGTGTACACACTGGGAGATTTCTTTATGTACGGGAGCACCTTACATTTATGAACCTTAGTGGCAAATACTTCTAGGCATGGCCATGTTCATTTATATGTTGAAACATGGGCCTTTGACAATTGTTCACCCCATGTCCCTAAAAAGAAGACCTTCCAAATGGAGACATCAGATCAGATAAAATATAAGGAAAAGGAGAGGTGGTTAGGTGACAGAGAAAGCCCTTACTAGCTTTACTGGAAAAAGTTGAGATGAGGTACTAGAGAGATGACATGGCGGTTAAGAGCACTGGCTGCTCTTGCAGAGGACCTGGGTTTGATTTCCAGCACCCACATAGCGGTTAACAACTGTCCATAACTTCAGTTCCAGGGGATCTGAGGCCCTCCTCTGACCTCTTTAGCCACTGCACGACACGGGTGCACTTATGCAGGCAATACACTCATACACAATTTTTTTAAGTTGAGATGAATAAAGAGGCTAGCCTTGACACTAGGGAAGCCCAATATGTTTCTGGTACAGTTTCCAAGAAATGATTAGTTGTGCCCATAAGTTTACAGGAGGTTTATATGCGGTTTGTGCTGAGATGAAATTTCTTCTAATATCAGCAGAACAGGTAAGCCTGTAAATGTCAAATGCAGTTGTAAGATTGGTATCTATTTCCTTATTTTTTGTCTCAATCAAATTGTTTTTGTTTTTGTTTGGGTTTTAGTTTTGTTGCGAGTGACGTTTCTTCCCTATTTATTTACCATATAAATTTTTAGCAGACTGGAGATAGGATGTTACCAGTAAATGATTTGGAATTCTTCCTTTGATTGTTGGTAGAATATCTCATAGTATATATTCTATCGTCTACTTCAGCAGAGAGACTCCATTTGCTATAAATAAAATTTTATAGAAATTCAGCCATACCCATCCATTGACTTGGCTATTTTTTTTTTTCATTCAGGCCACAATGGCAAAGTTGAGTGGTTGCCACAGAACTATGGACTGAAAAAACTTAAGATACTGACTTTATAGAAACAATTTGCTGACCCATAATGTAAATGATAATAAAATTTCTATGATTATATAAGCATACACTGAAGTCCTTATGAATTTTGTAAGTTGTCCTTATTGTCATAAGGATTTGATTTGCTTATAGTGCTGGCTGGTGATGGTACGTCCTTCCCTTCCCTGGAAAACAGTTAATGCCTGTGCCAGGTACATTCTGGTCTATACCTTTGCTTTCACTGTCTTTTCAATAGTTTGCAGCATTTAAAATTCTCTTGTGTAGATGTCTTAGTCCTCTAACGGAATCAGCATTTCCACATATGGTGTATCAAGCTCTAAATTTATCATGAATCTTTTTCCTGCCTTAAAGTTGTTACTCAGGGGAGTGGTAGCACACACCTTTAATTCCAGCTCATGGGAGGCAGAGGCAGGCAGATCTTTGTGAGTTCAAGGCCAGCCTTGTCTACATAGCAAGTTCTAGGTCAGCTGGAGCTATAGGGAGATCCTGTCTTAAATAAATAAATAAATAAATAAATAATAAATAAATAAATGCCAAGCGTGGTGTGCATAATCCCAGCATTCAGGAGGCAGAGACAAGTGGATCTCTGTGAATTCGAGACCAGCCTGGTCTACATAGCAAGTTCCAGGACAGCTGGTGCTAAAGGGTGACCCTGTCTCAAAGAGACCAAAAAAAAAAAAATTGTTGCTCAGAATTTTGGGTCTCATAAACAAATGTTAGGTAATGGTGGTTATAATATTCACCAAATTTCTACTTCATTGTTTTACATTGAAAGTACTATAGGAAGTGTAGAACAAATAATGCAGCCCTAATCAATTACTATAATAAAATAGAACATGGAATATGGCACCTGCATCTACATTAAAAAAAAACTTAACATTGTAAGAACCAGAGGTAGCTGATGACTACCTGGAAACAGTGCCTTTTGGACACAACAAGGCCATTGCACCTGTGAACTCACAGTGGTTCTAACAACCTACATAGACCTGTGCAAGTTCAAGGCAGATAAATTTCCAGGATGGATGGGGGAGGTAGACACAAAGCCTCACTCTTCACTGAAGAGCGATTTGCAATTAATAGGTGCTGGGAGAAGGAGAGTAAGTTTTCTTTAAGGGTGTGACCCCTTGTAGGTTGACCACATTCCAGGGGATGGACCCAAGAGTATTTGGTCAACACATCTTGGACTCCATAAGCTTTGAAAAAAAAAAAAGAGGACATGAAGTTCAGGGGAGACAGGAAGGTAGCATGGATCTGTGAGGAGACTGGGGAGGGGGTAAATATGATCAAAATGTATTGTATGAAATTACCAAAGAATTAACAAAAATGTTTAACATAATTATAGAACACACTCCTTGATCCAAAGATGCCACTGTCTATAAAAAGATGACTTTAGGTTTTGTATTTCATTATTGAGTGGTGTTTATTTGTTTTTAAATTTATTTATTTTTTAACATTGATTATGTATAATAATGAGTTTCATAATGGCATTTTTATTTGTCATTTTGAGACAGGGTCTCCCTGTAGCCCGAGCTGTCAGACCAGGCTGACCTTGAACTCAGAGATCCACCTGTCTCTGTCTCCCGAGTGCTGGGCTTGAAAGCATGCACACCAAGCCCAGCTCATTATAACATTTTAATATATGTATACAATGCATTTTCATCATGTGCACACCCACCTCCCATTATCCTCTGTTTTAGCACATTTGGTAGCTGTATGTCATCTGCTTTAAATAACAAATTGGTTTTTAAGTGCTAGCTGTTTCCTTCGCACAGATGCCTGATAGAGGAGTCCTTTTCTATCAAATCAATCAATAATTAAGGCAGGTAAAATGGATGCATGTTTTCATTCATATTCTGTTAACACTTATGGCTGTGATTATGGGTGGCCCATCCCTTGAGTTATTTTTAATGGCAATATTTACCTTTTCTGTTTAGCTTGCTCACAGCTAGCTTCCTGATGGTGGCTTAGAATAAAAGCACCTCCCTCTTATATTGATGGCTTACTGGTAGCTTGTTTTAGAAAGATTTATTATCAGCTTATCTTTTTCAGATTTTAATATTTGTGTCATTCTCTGTGTGTTAACCATCCCATCATAAACCAGCAGTGGGCTCTAGCCAAGAGTAGGTGTACAGGAGGCAGATGAAAGCAGCTTGGTCCCAAGGCATGGTTTTAGCTGTCAGCTCCTGCACTGACTCTGTTCAGAGAAGGTAGGTCTGCAGACACTCAAAACCTGGAGCAGACCCAGAGACCTGTCCCTAAGAGGCTTGCAGAAGACCCTAGAGACCTATCTTCCAGAAGTTCAGAACAGTCTTTTATTTGCAGAGGCTTGGAGAAGACTCCAGAGACCTGTCCAGAGATTTGGAGCAGACCGCAGAGACCCATCCAGAGGTGTGGAGCAGACCCCAGAGACTCATCCCCCAGAGGTGCAGAGCAGTCTTTTATTTGCAAAGACAATAGCAAAGGTAATAATATTCACTAGTGGTTTGGTGCTTATTCAGAAATTAAAACTTAGAATTATCTAGTGCAACAGTAAATAAGGTTCCTATAACTTAGTTATGATATCAGCTGCATTAGTAAAAGAAAAAGACCTTTAAAAATCAGTTTAAAACAGTTTGCTTCTTGTGTGACTTTTCAGCTATGTAAAGTCAGGAAACTCGAAAATCTGAAACATTTTGCTTTGTCTCTCTTGTAAATAAATAAAGAAATTCCATGTTACATGAATGGCTAGTTTGAACTTATAAGAATAACCTCACTCAAATCTTTAGAGGTTTAGAAATTAAAATATATCTTATTGTTACTATATACTAAACTATCAAACTGAAATTTTAAAGTATTAAACTAAAATATTAATAATGTTAATATTATTTGGTGGGAAAATGTTAGCACATTTTCAAATGACTTCTAGTTTGTGTGTGTGTTTGTATGGATGTTTGTGTTTATGTGTGTGTATGTATATGCCTGTGTTTGTCTGTGTATCTGTTTGGATGTTTCTGTGTCTGTGTGTCTCTGTGTGTATGTATGTGTGTGTATATATGTATCTCTGTATATATCTGTGTATCTATATGTTTGTGTATGTATCTGTGTTTGTGTGTCTCTGTGTGTACATTTATCTGTGTATCTCACTCTTTCTCTTTCTCGTGTGTGTGTATATGATCTGTACTAGGTCAACTAAAGAGTCTTTAGGCTATCTTAAGTGATTAGATAAATCACATTCATTTACCATATGCATGCTGAAGAGGCAGAAATGCTTTGACTATAACCCACTTACCATAATGTGCTGGGGATTATTTCTGTCTTTTAGCTGTTGGTCTGTGTTGGAAGCGTTATAAAAGGAGATTTTGCCATGTGTCCTGTTGCTTTGCAAGGGCAATGGCTTGCTTCTGGTACTGGTCATCTCAAGCATATCTTCACCCTTTGGAAAGGCTGTTTGCTTGTCCCTGACTTCTTTCCCCCTTTAAAAATAAGAACTTTTCAAAAATAATTTTAGTATTTTAATAAAGGATACTGGATGAGTTACAGAACTGTGAAAATATTTCAGAAAAATCATTGTTAAATTTGTATCTAATTTTATTTCTAAATTTGTATAGTAGAAAACAAGACATGAGTTCAGTTCAGAAATGTAATAAAAGTGTGATTTTTAATATGAAGGTAAAACGAATAAATAATTCATAAAAGAAGTATATGAACAAAAATATGTTAATAGTGGTTCACTCATTTTTGAAGGGAGATGACACTCAATTCATAGACAGTACATTTAACATTATTAAATGCTTTTTACTGGTTATTATAGTAAAATATTTTCATAAAAGGAAGCAGAAATAGGTAGGAAAGATAAAGAAGAAAGAGGAACCAGCATCCCAGGGAAAAGCTATTGCTAAATGTTGATAGTATTGCCTTTGCTGTCATCATTATGTGCATTTATTCACTCAATTTCAATCCCATTGTCTAAGTAAACAAGAGAACTTAGAGCATTCCACACCTGTTTTTCATGCTTATGCAAATGTACATGAAATGTATATAAACAAAATACTATAATGTACTCCTACAGGAGGGATCTTTAAACAGCCCAATGCTTAGCACTGAGACAAGACACCTGTGGTGTTCTCCTTTTATTTTGAAAGTTGTCATTCCATCTATCTATGCTTGTAGGTAACAGAGCCAACTCATTGCATTCAATATTCTATTGAATGCACATCATGTGTCTAATGATACACATCTGAAATAAATTCTGACTACTTTAGTTATTTTAGTTATAAAAAACTACCACACACACAAGGCTGGAGAGATGGTTTAGTGGTTGAGAGGAGGTATGGCTCTTACAAGAGGACCCAAGACCTGTTCTCAGCACCCACATCAGGCGTCTCGCAACTGCCTCCAACTCCAGCGTCAAGGGATCCCATGCCCTTTTCTGGCCTCTGTAGATACCAAACATACGTATAATAAATAATGAAAAATAAATCCTAGAAACTACTATACTAAACATTTTCTGAGTTCACAATATGAGCACTTTAAACCTAAAACAATGCTTACAGGACCACGTGTGATGGTGCGTTGAAAGAAGAGAACCACAGTTCAAGTATGTCTTCTTGTTTGTTTTTGTAAATGACTGCAATTTTTTATTAAAGTTTCCTTTTCTATTTTTAACTTAGTATACTGTGGGATTCTTCTGCTTTGTCCACCAGGTCAGAGATTATGTTTTTAGTTATGCTTATTCTGTTTGTAATTCCTCTAGAGAATTAAAAAAAAAATCTATTTCTTTCGGCATCTGCCATCTTTCTAACTTCTAACTTCTAACTTCTTTTGTCTGTGGCTCTCATTTCTCTGCCTCCATACTTGCTTCCTTTCCTAGTTGACTTGGCTTCTGCCTTTGTTGCTCTTTTACTTTGTCAGTGGCATTTGAACTGTTCTTGGTGGCTTATCAAGAGCACAGGATTTGGGGCATCTCTGCAAGGACTCAGCTGTCTGGACCTCTTAAACAGATTTTCTTTCACTGGCAATACTTGCTGTTAGTACTTTAATGCTATGACTCATCTCATTCTTGATTTTTAAAGATTATATCTCTCCCTTTGCATTTATATTATAAGCAGAATTTGCTGAAATTATTGAAACATAATTCTATGTTTGATTTGCATGAAGCTAATTATTAGTCTTTACGGTCCACTTCCTGAGATCTTAGTTTTCATACTCCTAGCAACAAACACTTCTCTACAAGAAACTTGTTTCTTTATTTTTTCAGAAAGCATACACAGGTGCTGTGTTTTATGAGTCCTTAGATCTGTGAGACCATCTTCATAGTTTCAAAAAGACATATTTCTTGCATTTAGCATTCTCTGGCTTCAAACCATTCTCCTGACTGTGCTGTTATGTCGTGTCTCAGTGAGGGAGGGCTTCAGTCTTCCTGAGACGCTTAAGGTCAATCTGTCTGAGTTTCTGTGGAGACACATTATTTAGGGACTGTAAATTTGTGGGAAGAGTCAAAATACACTTTTTGAAAAGTTCGATTCTGGACTGTATTAGCTGTTTGATGTGAGTTCCTACCAGACATTTTAAATTAAATAAGTGTGAGAGGCACATAGAGTGGGAGAGATGAGCATATTCTAGCTGCTGTGTTTGCCCAGGAACACGGATAAGTTCACAGAGCAGCTTACAACACTTTTCTGCAAGATGGGATCTTGCAAAACTTCAGCAGCCGTTAGGGAGCAGGTGTCTCTGACCAAACATTTTCCATATTTGGGGACTATTTAATGTATGTGATTTTTTTTGTAGCATGCTTTATTTGTCTCCTTTGAAGCTAATAGATTTATGATCTTTCATAAACTCATTGAATTGGCTGTCAATGGTTGTAATGTTCAGATGGCCACTGATTGTTCAAGAACCATCTCAAACTTTAAATTTAATGTAAGTTTGAGAACAATATGTTTTGTAGGTTTAAAAAACTTATAACTTATCTAAGAGCAGTAAGTAACCATAAAGCAACATTATATTTGGACTAAAACAAAGTTTAGTTGTAATTTTAGGTCAACATTACTCTTAAAATATCCTAACCCTTCAAAAAAATCAGCCAGAGTATCTTAGGTTCTTGTACATGGAAGTACAGAATAGAAGGTTCTAGAGTAAGTCAAGTGTGGTGCTGAATGCCTGGAATTCCATCACTTGGAAAAGGGAGGCAGGAGGATCAGTAGTTCAAAGGCATCCTTAGCTACATAATGAGTTCTAGGCCAGCCTGACCTACATACAGCCTGTCTCAAAACATTTTAGAATGAAAAATTAAATAAAAAAATTCTCTATAGATTATAATACCTTGTGTTTCTATCTGAAATTTTGGTGGCTTCTATCTGGACAAAGGTAATATGTGTTCTTGGATTCCTCTAAGGTATCAAGCGGTCTTTATGTTGAATTCCCCAGAAATTCAATTGCTCTATAGTTTCTCCTTCTGGACCATTTTTACATGTTTATTGGAGTTGTGAATCAGGTAAGGGCACATCAGTACCTATAACTGACAAAAGGTTCTGCACTAGAATGACTCCAGGCCACTGTATTATTTCCTTGAAGGGCTCTTGGTTTTCTTGGGGCAAATGACAAGGAATCTTAATTTTTGCTTAAATCTACTTTGGAAGTTGGATGACTTCTCCCACAGGATTTGTGCATGCCAAGAAAATCATCTAAGTTTGTCTAGCCCTTCTTTTCCCAGGCTCTGTGCACTTGGACATCATCAATTGCAGACCTCCCCCATCTTACTACACAGGACTCTGGCTTCATGATTTCTTCTTTCTGGGGGTGCTTTGGAGTTTTCTTTCATTTCACTTTATGATAAATTTTAATATATTTATGTTTCCATTTTTCATGTGTGTAGTGTTACACATGTTTATATATGTGGCCTGTATGTGCAGATGTACACACATGTGGAGGCTCAAGATCGATGTAGAAAATCATCCTTGATGACTTTCCATCTTATTCAGTGAGGCAAGGTCTCTCAAGTCTTGCTAGCTTGCTTGCTTTGGGGATTCCCTGATTCCACCCTTCCCACCAACATTTTTCTGAGTTCTAGGGATCTGAACTCCAGGCTGTACTTTAAGATTGAGCTATCTTTAAGCCCTGGTTATGGTGAATTCTCCCACCTGATTGTAAAGGCAACAGAATTTCCTTCTGCTCAACATCATCTATTGAACACATTCTTTAATGTTCTGTAGAATTCCTTCATAGTCTTCACCTTTTGTGAAAGAGTAAAGAGGGAATTGGTTCACTCTTTCCTGGCTTTGCAGCTATGTGCTCACGTCAAGAATCTAAAATAATCTAAAAGCAAGTTCAATTTCTTGCATATGAATCTTTTGGGAAAACTTTACTTTTATCTCAGGTATCTCTAGGACAAGCAGGGTTGTTGTCCCCAAAATGATTACACCTGAAACTCAGAAGCTTTATATTTCCATTAATGAAACTCTAATATCCATCACTTCCTCCTTAGTCTTCACCGACAAGGCTAAGGTAATTTCACAGAACCTGTACTTTGAACAGTAATAAAAAAAGTCACCTAGCTCCATAGAGGTCCAGGTTTGTAGTTCTCTCTATTGCCTTATCTCTGAGAACAGGAGTGATAGACCATTCATGTGGAAATAGCCACCAGAAGTTAAAAGAATAAAAGCTTAATAACTGTGTAAGTAGACTGTGGATCAGCAGGATTCAGAGAGAGAGAGAGAGAGAGAGAGAGAGAGAGAGAGAGAGAGAGATTCAGGGGATTATAGATTGCTGTAAAGCCACAAAACCATAAGAAATTACCTGGAGTTGTAGAAGGGAACTTGGGACAGGAGAGATGAAGAACCAGTAACAAAGAATGGTAGAAAAGACTGGCTTGTCAGCTTGCAGAATTTAGAAGAGGGTGGTGACTCAGGAGCCATGGAAAGGAGCTGTTTGAAGAAATTGATGAGATTCTAGGCAAAAAAGAGGTCTGAGGATTTACCACTGAATTTGGTAATCTAGTTGTAAGTTAGCAAAGAACTGTTTTGAAAGAGTACTGATGAAAAAAAAAAAACTCAGGATGGATTAAAAAGGATATTTTAAGTCTAAAATTCCTGTCAATTTAAATCTGCCCTTCAGAATGCAAGCCTCCAGACTAGATTCTGACTTCCTGTGGACAAAGATTCATCAATTGATTTTTTTGACTTATAATGTGGTGGTTTTATTCCAATGTAATAATTAAGGTTTATATTAAGGTTTATAACATACATTTCCAAAGACATATTAAACATGTTTTGAAGTATTGGACTGACCTTGTAAATAAAACTTTCCCAAACAATTTTTCTTAAATAAGAACAGGTAATGCATTATAAGACTAAGGAGTTAGTGGGGCTGGAGAAATGGCTTAGGGGTTAAGAGCTCTGGCTACTCTTGCAGAGGACCTGGGTTCGGTTTCCAGCACTCACTCGTCAGCTAACAACCATCCCTAACTCCAGTTCCAAGGGATCCGATGCCCTCTTCTGACCTCTGCGGGCATTGTACGGCAAGAGTGCATTTACACACATGCAGGCAATACACTCATACACACAAAATAATAAAATGTTTTTTTAAAAAGAATAAGGAATGAGTTACTAATTACTTTTCTGTTTTTTCTTCTCCTTTTTGCTCCATCCAGGCTTCCAGGATAAGTATGTACACATAAAAATCAAAGGAGAAGGACCTCTAACCTGATCATGGATTTCAGAGGAAGATTATTCAGCACACAAAACGGAAAATAAGACTGTGACCAGTTCTCTGCAATGATGCCTCTTTGCCATGATGCCATTAATATTACCTGCATGAACAGCAGTTGGTCAAGTGACATCCGTGCCTCCCTCTACAGCTTAATGGTGCTGATAATTCTGACCACTCTGGTTGGCAATCTGTTAGTAATAATTTCCATATCCCATTTCAAGCAACTTCATACCCCCACGAATTGGCTCCTTCATTCCATGGCCACTGTGGACTTTCTGCTGGGGTGCCTGGTGATGCCTTACAGCATGGTGAGAACTGTTGAGCACTGCTGGTATTTTGGAGAAATCTTCTGTAAAGTTCACAGCAGCACTGATATTATGCTGAGCTCAGCATCCATTTTCCATTTGTCATTCATTTCCATTGATCGCTACTATGCTGTGTGCGATCCATTGAGATACAAAGCCAAGATCAATATCTTGACTATTTTTGTGATGATCTTCGTTAGTTGGAGTGTTCCTGCTGTTTTTGCATTTGGAATGATCTTCCTGGGACTGAACTTTAAAGGAGCTGAAGAGATATATCACAAACACGTTAACTGCTTTGGTGGCTGCTACACTTTCTTTAGCAAAGTACCTGGTGTGCTGTCCTTCATGACTTCTTTCTATGTGCCTGGATCTGTTATGTTATTTGTCTATTATAGAATATACTTCATAGCTAAAGGACAGGCAAAATCAATTAATGCCATAAATCTTCAAATTGGGTTGGAAGAAAAAAATGGAATGTCACGGAACAAAGAAAGGAAAGCTGAGAGGACTTTAGGGATTGTGATGGGTGTTTTTGTCATTTGCTGGTGCCCTTTCTTTTTCTGCATAGTCCTAGATCCTTTCCTGGGTTACACGATCCCACTCACCTTGAATGATGCACTGAGTTGGTTTGGGTACTTGAACTCTGCTTTCAACCCACTAGTTTATGCATTTTTCTATCCCTGGTTCAGAAGAGCACTGAAGATTATTCTGTTTGGCCAAATTTTCCAAAAAGATTCATCTAGGTGTGAGTTATTTTTAGAATGAAATCCATACAATCATATTTTACTGTTTTATAAAACAGCTGGTGATTGCATTTATGAAAATAGTGGAACAACAATAGGCACTAAATACACAGGCTTTTACAATCAGTTATTTGAGTCCAAATATACATGACAAGTTCAAATTTTGATGTTTGCATATCATGTCCTGTTTGGTACAGAATAAATGTGACATTTGCTATTCTTTCCATATATGTTGAAACTTGGCAAATCCAACATTAAAGGCCACATGTAAAAGACCTTTCCTTTTCCTTACATGGCTGCCACGAGTTGCCAGTAGTGCTTTAGCTATTCAGTGATTGAAGTCATAAGGCTGCATTTAGGGATGTAAAGCAGAATGAATTTGTCATATGCATATACATGACTTATTCATGTGCTTTTGATCTTTCATATCTATAGGTTCTGTGACTGTGTGTTCAAGCAATCTGAGACCAAAAAACATTGAGAAATAAATAATAACAAGTATAGGTCATTTTTTGGTTATCATTCCTAAACAATATAACAACTATCCATAAGGCATTTGCATTGAATTGGGTATTATAGTCAATCTAGAGATGATTAGAACATATGGGAGGGTATGCATAGGCTATATGAAAATGTCATACAATCTAAGATTTTAGCATTAGCTTTTCAATATCTGGTCTAAGGATATTCAAGGACAACTTCACTAATGTCTTTTAATAAAATCAACTAAAAGTATATACTGTTACTATGAATTATCTGCATTTAATTTGCAACTAATATCCTTATGAACATGCAGGCCAATCCTTAGACATCTTGCTCTTCATCTTTTGAAAGCTGTGTTTAAAAAAGTTTTCACACTTGAAAAATTTAAACAAAACAGCACTTAAAAGTAAGCTAATGGTAATAAACTAGACAGAATTTAAATGTAATGTAGAATTTAAAGAAGTTACTTTAAGAAATTCCAGCAGACCTGGAACTTACCATGTAGACCAGGCTGGCCTTGATCTCAGAGATCCACCTGCCTTTGCCTCCAGAGTTCTGGGATTAAAGGCATGTGCTAATATAACATTGTTTCTTTAAAATACAGTTTATGTTAACTTTTCTATTGATTTATTTAGGTTTTCCTAATAGACAAGCATGTTATCTTCAACACTGTTTTACTTCCTTTTCAAAAATCATGATTCTTTAGGTTTTAAAAAGTGTATTTATTAGCTACGGGTGGTAGTGCATGCCTTTTGTCCCAGCACTTGGGAGGCAGAGACAGGAGGATCTCTGAGTTCAAAGCCAGTCTGTTCTACATAGGGAGTTCCAGGCTAGCTCTGGCTACAGGGAAACCCTGTCTCAAAAAGACACCCCCCCCCAAAAAAAGTGTATTTACCTACATGTTTGTATAGAAAGCTCCTGTGTGCCTGGTACCCTCAGTGGCCAGAAACAAGGGCCAGGATCCCCTGAACCTGAAGTTACAGATGGTTGTGAGCAAGCTTGTGGGTGCTGGAAACTGATACCGGATTCTCTGCAAGAGCAGATTGGTGGCAGCTGAGCCACCTATCCAGCCCCTAAGAATCATGATTCATATATATATATTTATATATATATTCCTTACTGTTCTTCATTAGTCAGAATTTATAAAGCAATATTGATAATAATGATGAGTCATCCTGGTGTTACATTTATTTTGACTTATTACTCAGGTTTTAATATCAGCTCTTTATTTTTCTTGGAACAAGTTCATGACTCAGCTAATTCTACATTTTTCACTTAGTCTCAAAGCCTTAAAGCTTCTTCTTTGTAGACTCTAATACTCATAATAAGAGACAGCCAAATCTTGCCTCCAAATAGGAGGAAAGGCTTGCTTTATTTTTCTGTATTCCCAGCTTCTAGCATAAGTATGTACACATAAAAATCAAACGAGAAGGAACTCTAACCTGATCATGGATTTCAGAGGAAGATTATTCAGCACACAAAACGGAAAATAAGACTGGTGGTCAGTTCTCTGCAATGATGCCTCTTTGCCACAAAGCCATTAATATTTCCTGCATGAATAACAGCTGGTCAAGTGACATCCGTGTCTCCCTCTACAGCTTAATGGTGCTGATAATTTTGACCACTCTGGTTGGTAATCTATTAGTAATAATTTCCATATCCCATTTCAAGCAACTTCATGCCCCCACATATTGGTTCCTTCATTCCATGGCCACTGTGGACTTTTTGCTGGGGTCCCAAGATATTTTAATACAGATTTTAAGCATAAGGGTTAAGAGATAGAGTGGAACTCAGAAAGAAAGACATACCCTGGAGCATGGGTGTAGGCTTCTCAAAGAAGAGCTACAATTTATTTAAAAGACAATGTCAACAGATTTTAAGCATGAAAGTAAGACACTCAAGAGCACAGACCTGGGGGTCTCAGGAGTCACTCCTGTTTCTTTACATTTAGTAGACTACAGAGTATACCAACAAAACAGTTCCATAGGGGTTGAAATAGGCACCTGGATAATGTAAGAGATGTTAGAATTAGTGAAGTCTTGTCTTTTTATTTATTGTTTTTGTTCTTAATTGTTTTTGCTTATTTATTTTTGTGGTGCTGGGGATTCAACCTAGGGCCTTGCACATGCAGGATGAATAACTGTATCTTTGAGCTACATCTCCAGCCGTTTACCTTTTAAAAAAGAAAAGGTGTGAATGCCATTGTCACAGTGTTTAACATAGCTCATGAAATGAATGGGCAGCTGTAAAAATAGTCAAAGTTCTCTTTGACAGGTCCTTGCTTTTCTTCCCTTATCTCTTCCTAAAATTCTTTCCTCAAGTCTCCAAGTTCCCAGTGAATTTACATTGCTTCAACGTACTGCATCATTTTTCTGAGATTGGTTCTGTGGTGGTCATATCAGTCTCTGTCCAATTTGTATCTCTTTGACTTTTCCTAGAAGGAAGACATTACTGACGCATGAAAAATTAAAAGTTCGTATTATATTTACACATGAGTGACAGTAATGCAAAGTCAGTCTGCTCATGATACACAGGAATTCTCTCAATAACTCTACAAGAGACATGAGCACCAACTGAGATGATACGGTCTACATTTTGCTTATTGATCAAAGCTCTGTAGTAGTGTGTTCAAGAAGCACACAGTTTCTATTTCATTTCATCAGAGAAGTAGATGATTAATAACTATTTTGTAGCAATATAGCAATACGTTATAATTATAAAACCCAGAAGCACCTGACAGAAACATCCTCAGATTTTGACAATAGACAAGTGTGTGCTCAAATCCCAGCTTCCCTCAATGTTAACGTTTCTGTTCCTGTTCCCTGTGTGCCTTTGCTTCTGTAGCTCCCTAAGCCTGGAATGCCACCCACACTCACATAGAAACCAGGTAACACTTGAACACTCATCTTGAGGATCACCCCTCCAGAAATCCACTATATGTAATCCTCTAGGTCAGGAGGGTCTCTTTCTCTAACTCCCAATACATTCATGCATTCCTTTATAGTGAATTTATTGATTAGACTATGATACCCTCTGTTCCCTGGACTGTGACTGGCAGTTAACAGACTGATTCATATTTGGACACAAAGCAAGTCTCTACAAATTTGGGAAAACTGAAATATATTGTATTCTGTCTGACCGTAAAGGAATAAAGGTAGATAGCAAAAACAAAAACATAAACAAAAATGGGAAAAAATATAAAAACTCGTGGACGCTAAACAACACACTACTGAATGAAAATTAGGTCAAGGGAGAAATGAAGAAGGAAGTTAAAAATTCCTAGAATTAAATGAAAATAACAACACAACATAACAAAACCTTTGGGACACAATGAAGGCAATCCTAAGAGAAAAATTTATAGCATTAAGTACCTACATCAGAAAATAAGAAACATCTCATACAAATAAATTAATGATGCATTTGGCAGTCTTAGAAAACCAAGAACAACTGACACCTAAAAAGAATAGACAGGAAGAGATAAATAAAATCAAGGCTGAAATTGGCTGAAATTAATGAATTAGAAATGAGGATAATAATACAAAGAATCAATGAAATAAAGAATTTTTTGAAAAGATTAACAAGATTGACAAATCTTTAGCCAAATTAATCAAAAGAATGAAAGAGAGAGAGAGAGTGAGAGAGAGAAAGAAAGAAAGAAAGAAAGAAAGAAAGAAAGAAAGAAAGAAAGAAAGAAAACCCAAATTAACAAACTCAGGGATGAAAAGGGAAACATTACAACAGACCCTGAGAAAATTTAGAAAACCATAATCACATATTTTAAAAATGTATTTTCAGGCAAACTAGAAAATCCCAAAGAAGTGGATAAATTTCTACATATGTGCAACCTAAAAAATTAATACAAAATTATGTAAGTAAATTAAACAGACCTATAACCACCAAAGAGATAGATATAGCAATTAAAAACCTTCCAACTTGTCGGGCGTGGTGGCTCACTCCTTCAATCTCAGCACAGAAGGCAGAAGCAGATGAATCTCTGAGTTCAAGGCCAGCCTGGTCTGCATAGTGAGTTCCAGGCCAGCTGGGGCAATATGGAGACCCTGTCTCAAAAAGACTGACCGAACAAGCAAGCAAGCAAGCAAACAAACAAACAAAAAACCCTTCCAACTTGAGCCCAGTTCTAACTGTAGAACAGAGAAGGTGAAATCAAGCTGGTGCTGACCTTAAAGCCTCATCTCTACTTGCTAGCTTTTATAGTGCTGGAAGATGTTATGTATGGTACCTGAAGAGAAAATTAATCATAGACTTTACCCAGCTGTGAATCCTGTGAGCTACAACAGCAACAGGTCTGACAAGATATGTCTACTGGTATAAGAGTGGCATGAATATTATAGGAGTAACCAACCACTTTCTACTTGGACTTAAGGTCAACTTCATAGGATGAAGCCCATACCTGACACTGATATCAGACATAGGAAACTGAGACTAGACAAGTCACAGGCCACAGGGGAGAACCTAATACCATCATTTTGCTAAATAGATATAGTATTAAACTGACTCCTAATGACGTTGTTATACAGGTATCTCTCAGCTCTCATCGGAGAAGCTTCTTTATGTATCAGATGGTGATTAACACAGAAACCTACAACTGACCAATGTGCAGGGAACAAGAAGCTGCAGAGTGCTTAGCATTGAATAGGACACCTATATCAAAGTTCTGTCCCCCAAGGCTCAGAGATCATTGCAGAGTTGGGAGGGCAGAAGATTATAAGAGCCAGAAGTGGTAGATGAACAGAAAGAAACAGTTTTCCAGATCATTTACTCATATGAATGCACAGCAAAGGTGACGGCATACACAAGTCCCATGCAAGCTCAAGTCAGACAAATATCCAAGCTTAGATGTGAGGCAGGGGATAAGAAACCC